AACTGTCTTCCTGTGTCCATACAGAAAGGACATTGCTTTAAAGTAAACTATGTAAAAGACATAACTTACAATACAAGTTCAGTGTTCTTAGAAGGCTCTGATCTTACAAGCTAACAGAATCTGATTAGGAAAAAGGTGATCAACTGGTTGGGGAGGAGGGCACAGAGAAGAGTTTACAGATAAACAAAGGAATGGGAGTGACTCGGAGCACTGTGATGGGTGTAACCTGATAAATCTAAGTTCTCTGCAGCAAGGCTAAAAGGAAAAGCCCAATGTTGTCCTACAGTTAAAGGAAAAGACGTCAGTAAGAACTGTGACTGGAGCTTCTTGGGATCTCTGGTCAAGATTTGTGCCCTAGGAAGCTCCATTGTGCCCTCCAAGTTGAAATCACTAATTTAGGAAAGCAGATGTCTCCTCTTTCATCACTAAGGGTTAAAATGATGCTGAGAAACTGCTTGAGAGCACGCTGCAGGGTTTTCTGGTCCAGATGGAACAGGAGCTCCTAATGTGACTTCGTTCTTTGCAGGTCCTGTCTTTGGACACAAATATCACAAACCAAGTGAACAAGCTGAACCGGGACCTGCTTCGCTTGGTGGATGTAGGCGAGTTCTCAGAGGAGGCCCAGTTCCGAGACCCATGCCGCTCCTACGTGCTCCCTGAGGTCATCTGCCGCAGTTGTAACTTCTGCCGGGACCTGGACCTCTGCAAAGACCCCTCCTTCTCTCAGGTGGGACATGTTCTCACTATGGAGTCAAAATGTCCAGGCATTGGAAGGATCCTGCGTTTTCACTCTTGGAGGCTTCCCCCTCTTCAGCACTCAGTTGCTCCTTGCCACCCCACCCACTATCCTGTGCTTAATGACAATGGTCTCTGTATTGTACCCCCACCAGCTCCCAAGTGCTTCCTCTCCCTGCTTACTATGGGGTCTTCTCAGCCATCAAGGCCAGTGTAGAAAAGCTGAGCAGATGCCTTTGGTCTGTCTCTTGCCTCACACCCCTCCTTGTTCGGTCTGCATAGGATGGCACTGTCCTGCCCCAGTGGCTCTGCTCCAACTGTCAGGTTGCCTACGATTCATCGGTCATTGAAATGGCCCTCGTGGAGGCCCTGCAGAAGAAACTGATGGCCTTCACCCTACAGGACCTGGTGAGCTGGGTTATCTGCCTTGCACCTGTTGTCAAGTTGCTGCTACTTCCTGATCAAGGATTTGTGCCCTCCAAAGGCTAGGGATATATGCTCAGGTCATAGCTTGGTCCTCTTGAGGTGACCACCTCTCATACATAAGCCCCTGAGCTTGTCTTTATGGTACCCATTGGGCATTCGAATGGAGGGAAGTCCGTAAGGGAGAGGTGTTTAAGCATTGGATGGGCAGAGTCTCATAGGAGGGACATTTCAGCAAAGACCTGAGGGAGGCGTTGGGCCTAGAGCTAATATGAGAGATGGGACATCCCCAGGACTGAGAGTCACCCACAGGGAAGGTGTTGGGGAACAGTTGATTGAATGAAACCCATTATGAAAAATGTCCATCAAGTTGAAGGATATCAGGGTGTTAGAAAGCCAAGGGGTACACATAGCAGCAACTGCCAGTATTGGGTCCTTCTTATTTCAGGTTTGCCTGAAGTGCCGGGGAGTGAAGGAAACCAATATGCCTATGTACTGTGACTGTGCTGGGAACTTCACCCTCACTATCCACACTAAGGTGGGCCCTTTATTACACACCCGACCTCAGGTCTGCACCCCTGAAGTGCCTCTGGGCGTAGTGCCTTACTGCAGTTGATCATTCTTGCAGGATTTCCTGGAGCAGATCGGAATCTTCCGGAACATTGCCCAGCACTATGGCATGTCATACCTCATGGAGAACCTAGAGTGGCTGCTGCAGAAGAACCCCCAGCTGAGCCATTAGCAAGCCAGCAGCCCTTTTTCCATCCCAGCTTCCTAGACTCATGACCTTGATCCTGGGTAGTGCATAAAGGAAGATAACTTTCAGGAAAAGGTGGAACATTCAGAAGAGGCACTAATCAGCTGGAGTGGGAGTGACTCCACAGAATCCATGTAATCCCAGCTGTACTGCTACTTGGGACCACAGGTCCTTCCTCTGAATAAACACGTTGGTGCGGCACCTCTAGGCCCCATCTTTTGCCCTCTGCCTCCCTGGGATACTGGAGACAGAGCAGAGGTATGAGTGGGGGCTCTGCAGTGCCTGCTGTTTTGTTGCCTCAGAGAAACACTGTCCAACACGTCATGCCAACAGGATCTGGGTCGGTTCCAAGAAATCCCAGACTAAGGGCAGGAAAGCCAAGGAGGAGGCATTTCAGCTGTTGGTCTTAGTCCTGGCCATGGATGGACTGTGTAGGGGTACCTAGCCTGTCTATGGTGGCCTCGGTTACTTGGCAGTGTGGAAAACAGGGCCCAAGGAGGACTTGGAGATGGACTTTCATTGTATGTCACACCTGTGTTTTTGGAAAACGTTTCATTATGTACGCAATTTTTCACTCCAGCTCTGTGGGATAAGGAAAGTAAGGAAGAGGAGTATGGGCAGCTTCAGACAGACCAACCAAGACCTCTGACCTGCAGGTCTGTGGGAGCTCCTATGCCCAAAACAGTGCTCAGGATTTGCTGCCTTGAGTGTGCCTCTTCCTGGGTGGCAGTGGGGCAGGACTGCTAACCAGCCAATTTGGGGAGAGTGGGGTAACCTTCTAAGAGCCATGGAGCACTGTGCCAAGCAGCTTTTCTCTTCTCTATTCTCCCAAGAACATAAAACCTCATTTTTATCTAAGTGAATCTGGAAATAGAGAAATACAGCCAAATTAGCAAGGCAGCCAACAAACATTAAATGTAAACCATAACCTCAAAATCCCAAAGAACTGTGGCTCATAAGAAATCATGGGTAGGTGCCAGAGCTATAGCACAGTAGGGAGGGCGCCTTGCACACGGCCAACCCTGGTTCGATTCCTGGCATCTCTTATGGTCCCCTGAGCACAACCAGGAGTAATTCCCAAGTGCAGTCAGGAGTAACCCCTGAATGTTGCCGGGTGTGACCCAAAAAGCCAAAATGAAAGAAATCATGGGCAGGCTACAGGAATTTTGCTGACTTGAGCTTGATATCCATCATCTTTGGATCCAGTTTCCCAGAGTATTGGTTACATTGTGGAAGATTTTTTTTTTTTTGAGGTCACACCCAGCTGTGCTCAGGGCTTATTCCTGGCTCTGCACTCAGGAATTACTCCTGATGGTCCTCAGGGGACCATAAGGGATGCCAAGGATCAAACCCAGGTTGGCCGCGTGCAAGGCAACTGCCCTCCCTGCTATATATCTTTTCAGTCCCACATTCTGAAGGAATTTTTGTTCATTTGTTTATTTGGGGGTCATACTCCGTGATGGGCTGGAGCAATAGCACAGCTGGTATGGCATTTGCCTTGCACGTGGCTGACCCAGGTTCGATTTCTCCACCCCTCTTGGCAAGCCAGGCAAGCTACTGAGAGTGTCTTGCCCACACGGCAAAGCCTGGCATGCTACCTGTGACATATTCAGTATGCCAAAAACAGTAATAAGTCTCACAATTTGATGTGAGACGTTACTGGTGCCCGCTTGAGCAAGTCGATGAACAAGGGACAGACAGTGCTACAATGCAGTGCTACTCAGTGATGCTCAAGGATCACTCCTCGCAGTACAAGGGGAGCTGCTGTGTACCAGGGATCATACCTGGGTTGACTACATAGCAAGAGTTTTACCGCTGATTTCACTCCAGTCCTTCAATTACATTGTGAATCTTAATTTTGCACTCTAATTTGATGTTTAAGATTTCACTTGATGTTTGTGTAAGGTACTTGGATTTCTGGAAGAAAGAAAGAGAAAATATTATCTGCTCATCCCATGTGTTTGGCCACTAGTGCATTCAGGCCCAACAATTTCAGAAACCTGAAGCTGGCCGGAAGGTAGACAGAGCCGTCTCAGCCCCCAAATGGAGATGAAATCTAATTAGGACTAACTAGGCTTCCTGGAAAAGAACTGGAGATATCCCCAGGGAGTGAGAAGGGGAGGCGTGAGCCTCACCCTGGACACTGCACTCCCTGTCCTTTCCCTTGGAGGCCACAGGTCAGTCATGCTTAGCAATGAGAAACCTGAGCCCCCAGACTGCTGTGTAAACTGCAGCCAAGTTTCAGGTGGAAAAGCCAGTTTCTCCAAAACTACAAGTGGATGATTGAGGCAGATACCCAGAATGTGAGGCACCGTGGTGACGTATGAAGCCAGGCCCCAGGATAGAGGGTCCATGGAGGTGGCAGTGGTGGCTGGGCTGCTGTTTGCTGGTGGTATTCTGCCTGGCGGTGGCCAAAAAGCAGCTCCCCACCTGCCATCTTAGTCTGAGGAGCTCTGGGATCATGGTTGTGATACCAGGCACTATTGTTCCCCTGCTCTCTATGGTCTCCCTTGCCATTGCTGGTGAGGCCACAGCCTGACTGTAGTCTAAGTCTTCCCAGCAGGAATGGCCAGGCAGGCGCCAGACAAGTCACTAAATGTAATGACTGTCTAAGCATGTGGACACAGTAACCAGATTACTCAGACCTGCTCTGGCTGGTGCAGACTCCCAAGGCTCCTGTCCACTTACCCACTATATCAGTCTTCAATGCCCACATCATTCCTGTCTCCTTCCCACCCCCACTTGAAGTAGAGGCTGATCTGCAGGGGCATTTTGATTCAGAAGCCTACAGGATTTCAGCTTTTAGTGGGACATCTCTCCTCCCTGTTTTCAGGTTTGGAGTCTGTAGTGACCTGCAGGAAGCTGGTAACTAATAACTGTCCCCTGTATTCTCTATTTCCCCCTCCCCAACCAGCTCTGATATCTGATGTGATTGTGACCTGGCCTGGGAAGAAGCAGATGTGCTCGTGCTTTGCATTAGGACCAGGTACACAGGAACCTGCAGTGTATATATGTTTTCAGAGACTCAAGATACTTTTTCCCAAAAAACAAGGGCAGAAGGTTCTGGTTACAGGTTTATTGGACACTGGACATGTGATTTCTTGATTACAAGGCAGAGGGAGTGGGGGCAGGGAGGTGCAGCCTGAGGTGTAGGCAGAAACTAGATGCTACAGCCCCAATCAGTTAGACATGATGTGAGTGGAGGGGCACAGCCCTATGCACAGGGGTCCTTTGTTCCTGGTCTCCAGAGTGCTGAGACACGTGGGCAGGCCCTGAACTCACCACAGGGCACCAGTGTGCTGCCATTAAAGCAGGGCTCTGTCCTTCGGGCAGCAACCTTGCAGCCTCCCACCAAGCCAGTTTCTGTGCCGCAGTGATGGAGTAGAAGGTGGAGCTCAGAGCTGGGCCAAACCTCGCGGGTCCGTGGACATGGAGTCTAGATGGGGAGGCTCAGAGGCACAAAGTCTGGGTCCTGCGCCCTGCTCAGGAGCATTCACCATCTGCTCAGATGGGGCAGAGGTGGGGCCAGGCAGTGGGGGCAGAGCAGCCAGGGCCTGGCCTTGATCTGTAGAACGGGGACAGGGTGGGGGAGGGGCCTGACCCAAGATCAGGGCCAGGGTCACTGGCCAGCTACCTGCAGAATGCTTCTGGGCACACACCTTGTCGAATTTCTTATGACTGTAGAGCTTGTTCTTGTTCATGAATGTTAGCAAGATCCAGTCGCAGAGGAAGGAACCCTGGAGTTAGCGAGGCTGGTGTGAAGAGTCTGGAGGGTTTCCCACCTCCATTGCCTTCCCACCCAGACCCCCAGGTCCCAGCATTTGCCTCTTACCACCCCGATGGAGGTCAGAGCTGTGGCCAGATTAATGATGGTAGGAATCAGGCTGAACTTCCCTGCCTGGAGATATGATAGGGGAGGAGGGCCTAGATAGTCAGCCATACAGGGCCCCACGTGCAAGAGAGAAGGCTGTGCCAGATGTCTCAGGCCACTCAGACCCCAGGCAGTTGGAGCCCCCTGGTTTACCTGTCCATGCACAATAACATCGATGCGGATCCCATAGGCTTTGATGAGTGTGCGGGTGGTGCTGTTGTTCATCTTGTAGTACTTGGCAAACCTGGGAGAGTGTCAGAAGAGTAAGGTGCCCACTGTCCCCTTGAGTGCTGCCCTATTTGTTTCTGGAGAAGCCACAGCCTAAGAGGGCTGGAGCTAGAGGATATGCCAGCCTCCAGAGCCAAGGTACCTGAAGTTGTAGCCGGAGGAAGCTGGCACATGCTTGGGGTCGAGTCTCCGGAAGGAGTACCTGGGGTTGCACTTGGAGGCGGACAGGTCCAGGTCACAGTCCCAGTTGATAATGACTCCAATGACACCGCCCTGCTCCAAAGTGGATGCAGGAAGGGTTGGAACTGGCACACAGAGGACTTCCAGAAACTCAGGATCCCTCCCTGAGGCTGTGCATGGAATAGAGCTGCCAGTTTGGTGAATGCCTGGCTGTGAGGCACAAGGAGACACCAGTGACCAACTGTGTGACTAGGAGTCAATAATTTAGCAGGAGCCATGCGTGCCCAGATGGGGTGGGTGACAGGGTTTCTCTTTCCTAGGCGAAGTAGTGCCCAGGCTGGCCAGGACTGCAAAGGGAACCGTGTAATGGACTCCAGAGTGGGAGGGGGCAGCGCCCGGAAGGAAGGACTCACTGTGTGTGCCAGCTCAGTGAAGTTCTCTCCCGCCTTCTCCACAATGAAGCCCAGCTTGAAGATGGGGCAGTAGAGGTCAGAGACTTCGTGAAAGGTACAGTGCTTCAGGTAGCCATCCTTGCGGGTCTCAATGTTGCCCCTAAGGGTGCGAGCAGCCACATGGGTGAGGAGTGCTGGAAGCTGGGCACCCAGGGGGCAGTGCCTCACCCCGCAGTTTAATAACTTACTTGGAAAACTGGAATTTGGGGTAGTGGATGCTGTTCTTGATGAGGATGGTGAAATTGGGGGCCATCTTACCAAGAAACTGGCTGAGGAAACACACTGGGTGGGTTTGGCCCTCCCAGGCCCTGGTCCACTGTTGATGCTACCCCCACCCCCCAGCACAGAGCCCCAGTCTGGGAAGGAGGGGGGAGCGGGCACACCTAATGGACGCTCCGTCTTCCACCGGACACCAACCGGACACCTCACAAGTCTTGGTGGCTCCGTGGTAGTAGGGCACGCAGCGCCCTGTGCGCACGCCTGCGGGTGGGTGGGTGGGTGAGGGCTGAGGCCCGAGGCCCGGGTTCTGCGCACCCGTGCCCACCACGCCCGCAAATGCTCACCGTTTCCCAGCATGTCCAGCTCACCAGCCACACAGTCCTCATCCGAGTCGCAGGTGGCGTTTCGGACCCTCGTGCTCTAGAGAGGCGGGCTGGTCTGCGCGCGGAGCCAAGAGCCCTCCTGCCCCCCTCTGCCCGGACCCCGCCTCACCTCCGGACAGGTTCCGAGGGTCTGCGAGGGGGTGACCTCGATCCTGGTGATGATGCTGAACACGCTGCCCCCCTGGTCCAGGACGGGGACGGGCTGTGGGTTCGCGCGCGTGGCTCGCCCACCCCTCGGTCCCACCACCCCGGGCGGCGCGGGCGGGGACGCACCTCGGGGGGCTTCACATACTCCTCCACGTCCCAGACTCTGTTTTCCGAGGAGGTGATGCCCTTGACCTTGGTAATGACGGAGCTCTCGGGGCCCGTCTCGCTGTCCTGGTAGCTCTTCTGTACGAGGAACACGTACCTGCCGGCGGCCAGGGAGGGCTCTGCGGGGGCCCGGGACCCCGCCACCGCCGGCTGCCCCCGCCCCGCCCGCGCGCGCGCGGCGGCCCGACCCCCGCCCGCGCCCCGCGCACCAGACGAAGTAGAGCAGGATGAGCAGCTGCACGGCGCGGTACACGACGCCCAGGCGCCGGTTCCTCACCACGATCACTTTGGGCGTCTCGTAGTCCCAGAAGGCCGACCAGCACCCCCGGGCCAGGCGCCGGGCTACGGCCGCGCCCGCGCGGGTCTTGGGCTCGGGGGCCGCCATACCCGCCGCCCCGAGCGCGCCTGCAGCTCGCCCAGGGTCGGGACGCGCGGACCCAGCGCCCGAAGCCCCGCGCCGTCGGGGGCGTGGTCTGTGCCGGGGGGCGTGTCTCGTGTCGCCTGGGCGTGGTCTGTGACCCGTGCAGCTTTGGGGCGCAGCCTGTCCCTACGGGCGTGGCCCGTGCCGCCGGGCGTGATCTCTGCCGCCGGGGGCGTGGACAATGCCGCCAGGGGCGTGGCCCGTGCCGCCAGGGGGCGTGGCCCATGCCTCCGGGGCGTGGTCTGTGCCGCCAGGGGCGTGGCCCTTGCCTCCAGGGGCGTGGCCCCGTGCAGCTTTGGGGCACAGCCTGTCCCTCCGGGCGTGGCCCGTGCTGCCGGGCGTGGTCTGTACCGCCGGGAGGCGTGGACAATGCCGCCAGGGGCGTGGCCCTTGCCGCCAGGGCGTGGTCTATGCGGCCGGGGGCGTGGCCCGTGCAGCTTTTTTTTTTTTTTAATTTTTTTTATTCGTGAAACACCATGAGGTACAGTTGTAGATTTACAAATTTTTGTGCTTGGGTTTTGATTATACAATGATTAAATATCCATCCCTCCGCCAGTGCCCATTTTCCACCACCATGGATCCCAGTGTCCCTCCCACACCCATGCCCCCATCCCACCCTGCCTCTGTGGCAGGGCATTTCCTTTTGTTCTCTCTCTCCTTTTGGGTGTTGTGGTCTGCAAAAGAGGCATTGAGTGGCAATCATGTTCAGTCCATAGTCTACTTCCAACATGCATCTCCCCTCCTGGGAGGATCCTCCAAACACCCTTTATTTGGTGCTCCCTTCTCTATCTGAGCTACTCTTTCCCCTAGAATGCCCAGCTGGCCTCTAAGCTATTGAATAATCCTCCTGGTACTGATCTCGGCTATTCTTGGGTATTAATCTCCTATTTTGTTACTTTTTATCCCCCAGATGAATGCAGTTTTTCTATGTCTATCCCTCTTTCTGACTCATTTCGCTTAGCATGATACTTTCCATGTAGTACCACTTGTATGTAAATTTCATGACTTCATCTTTTTTAACAGCTACATAGTACTCCATTGTGTATATGTACCAACGTTTCTTTAACCAGTCATCTGTTCTTGGGCACTCAAGTTTTTTCCAGATTCTGGCTATTATAAGAGTGCTGTAATGAACAAACAAGTGCAGATATCATTTCGACTATACATTTTTGCCTCTCTGGGATATATTCCCAGGAGTGGCATTGCTGGGTCAAATGGGAGCTCAATTTCTAATTTTTTGAGAATCGTCCATACTGTTTTCCAGAAGGGCTGAACCAGTCGACATTCCCACCAACAGTGAAGGAGTGTCCCTTTCTCGCCACATCCATGCCAGCATCGGTTGCTTTTGTTCTTTTGGATGTGGGCCAGTCTCTGAGGTGTGAGATGGTATGTCATTGTGGTTTTGATCTGCATCTCCCTGATAATTAATGATGTAGAGCATTTTCTCATGTGCTTTTCTGCTACTCGGATTTCTTCTTTGAGAAAGTTTCTGTTCATTTCATTGCCCCATTTTTTGATGGGGTTGGATGTTTTCAGCTTTGGGGCTCAGCCTGTCCCTCCGGGCGTGGCCCGTGCCACCGGGCGTGGCTCGTGCAGCTGAGGGCATTGGCCTGTACCCCGGGCCATGGCGTGGCATTGCACGCGTGTCCCACCCGGCTGCTGAGCTCCTCGCCGCATCTGGCAGGTGTTCCAGGTGAGGGCCCACAGGGCCCGCGCGAGACACCGCCCAAGGGGCGCCGCGGCGCTGGTCAGTCCTGCTCTGAAATCTGTTTTTCCAGCTTTGTACAGATACGTTTGGCGTCCTGTGGTGTGTACATCATACGCCCCCGTTAACCCACTGCCACCTGTTGTTTTCTTTCTCCTCTTTCTGTCTTCCTTTCTTCCTTCCTTGCTTCCTTCCTTCCGAATTTTTCTGTGCCGATATCAAAGCCAGGACCACTGCACCATCGTTGGCTCTAGTCCTTACTTTTTCTCTCTGCTCTATCCTTTGATTGCTTTGTACCAAGTCCCAGAATTTTCTAAAACTATGAAAATGGTTTTTTGATGTAAAATTCACATAACACCTGATTCACCTCTTTTTTTTTCTATTTTGTTGTTGATGTTTTGTTTTTGGACCACAGCTGGTGATGCTCAGGTGCTACTCTCAGCTCAGTGCTCAAGGGTCTCTCCAGGTGGCACTTGGGGAAAATCATGCCGTTAGGCAGGATCAAACCATAATTCTTACCCTTTCAGTCAACTCCCCCATCCCTAATTAACCTTTTTTTTTTTTAACCACACCCAGAGGTTCTCAGGGGTTACTCCTGGCTTTGCACTCAGGAATCACTCCTGATAGTGTGATCCTGGCATCCTAGGAATCCCCAGGTTGGCCACATGCAAGGCAAGTGTATTGACCACTGACCTGTCTCTTCACGCCCTAATTAACCATCTTATTCTATTTTGTTTTGTTTGAGGGCCACACGAGCAGTGCTCAGGGCTCACTCCTAGTCATGCACTCAGGGATCACTCCTGCAGGCTCAGGGGGCCATGTGGTGTGCTCGGGATAGAAGCTGGATATGCTGCGTGCAAGGCCAATGCCCTACTAACTCTACTTTTGCTCCAGCCCTAATTAACTTTATTTTCTTTTTTTTATTTGTTAGTTTTAAGGCCATATTCCACAGTGCTCAGAGGTTACTCCTGACTCTGCATTCAGGAATCTTTCTTGGCAGGCTCATAGGACCATATGGGATGCTGGGAATAGAACTCAGGTCAACCGTGTGCAAGGCAAGTGCCTTACCAACTGTACTATCTCTCTGGCCACTAATTAACCATTTTAAAGAACAATAGTTTCATGAACAATTCTGTTAAATTTAGGGCATTCTTTTTGTTGTTGTTGTTTTGTTTTGGGACCATACCTGGCAGTGTTCAGGAGTTACTCCTGGCACCTAGAATTTTGTTTGTTTGTTTGTTTGTTTGCTTTTTGGGTCACACTCATCAATGCACAAGGGTTACTTCTGGTTCATGCACTCAGGAATTACTCCTGGCCGTGCTCGGGGAGACCATATGGGATGCCGGGAATTGAACCCAGGTTGGGATGTGTGCAAGGCAAACGCCCTACCCACTGTACTATCACTCCAACCCCACCTAGGAATTTTTTGCATTAAGGAATTACTCCTGGTAGGTTCCAGGGACCATATGGGATGCTGAGGATCAAACCTGGGTAGCCACATGCAAGGCAAAGGCCCTACCCACAGTAACTATCGCTCCAGCCCAATTTAGGACATTCTTTTTATTTATTTATTTATTTATTTATTTTATTGAATCACTGTGAGATAGACCCTTACAAAGCTGTTCATGATTAGATTTCAGTCACATAGTATTCCAACACTCATTCCTCCACCAGTGCACATTTCCCAGCACTAGTGTTCCCAGTTCTCCTCCCATCACCGCCACCCCCAGCCTGCCTCTATGGAAGGCTCTCTCTCTTTCTCTTTCTCTTTCTCTTTCTCTTTCTCTTTCTCTTTCTCTCTCTCTCTCTCTCTCTCTCTCTCTCTCTCTCTCTCTCTCTCTCTTCTCCCCCACCCCTTTAGGCATCATGGTTTGCATTACACATTCTGAAAGATTGTCATGTATATCTCTTAATCTACTTTAACACTCAGTTCTTGTCCAGCATGATCATTTCTTTCCAACTGCTATTGTCATGCTGGTCCCTTATCTATCTTACGGTAGATTCCAACCATTGACCAGTTCTCCTACCAATTTAGGACATTCTTAATGCTGTGTAGCATTATGTACAATATGTGGGATGCCAGCGATTGAACTGGGGTCAACTGCATACAAGGCAAGCGCCTTAACCCCTGTGCCATCAGTTCTCCAACCCTACCACAACTTCTTTATTCATTCATCTGTCAATGGATTTCCAGTTTTTTTCCAACCCAAAAATAGCCTGGCTGGGGCTGGAGCAATAGCACAGCGGGTAGGGCATTTGCCTTGCACAGGGCCCACCCAGGTTCAATTCCCAGCATCCCATATGGTCCCCTGAGCACCACCAGGGGTAATTCCTGAGTGCAGAGCCAGGACTAACCCCTGAGCATCGCCGGGTGTGACCCAAAAAGAAAAAAAAATAGCCTGGCTGTTGTACTAAGTGCTGCAGTGAACATTGGTGTGCCAGTGCCTTTTTATCTTTTTTTTTTTTATTCACCACCTCCCACCATCAAGTCTGGATGAAGTCCCCACCACATTTGTCTTCTTAAATTAATAATTTTGTGTTTGTGGGGAGGCATAAGTGCCAAGAAATGGAATTGCTAGGTCATTTGGAATTTCTATTCTTTTTTTCTTGGTTTTGGGACCACACAGAGTGGTGCTCGGGCTTTTGTTTGGTTTTGTTTGGGGGCCAGACGCAGTTGTGCTTACTCTTAGGTCTTTGCTCAGGAATAATTCCTGGTTTGTTCTGTGCTTACTCTTAGCTATGTACTCAGGGATCACTCCTGGTGGGCTCAGGGAATCATATGGGCAGCCAGGGATTAAATCCAGGTCAGCTGCATACAAGGTAAGTAACATATCTGCTGTACTATCTCTCCAGGTCTGTAAAATGTATTTTAATTAGAGAAGAGCTCAATAAATGGGAAGGCAGTTCATGTTCATTAAACTTACTACTAAAATAGCAACACAAAGGGGCCAGAGCAATAGAATAGCAGATAGGGCATTTGTCTTCCATGCAGGCAACCCAGGTTCAATTTCCGACATCCCATATGGCCCCATGCCCACTCAGCACCACCAGGAGTAATTCTTGAGTGCAGAGCATCACTTGGTGTGACCCAAAAGGGAAAATAAATAAATAAATAAATAAATAATATAGCAACACTGTCGCTGGAAAGAGTATAGGGATTAGGCACTTGTCTTTCATGGGTCCAGTACCAGGTTCAATCTCTGGCACCCCATACGGTTTTCAGAGCTCAGCAGGAATGATGCCTGAGCACAGCCAGTGGTGACCCAAAAAGCAAATTAAAATGAGCTGCTTTGAAATTGTGTTGGAAGACCAAGGCTAAATTTTTTTTTAATGTAGGAGTGCTGCTATTTATTCAGCCATTGGTTAAGCTGATTGAACTGGGCATGAACTCCACATTACTTTTTTTTTAAATTAGATATCTATGAGATAGACCATTACAAAACTGATCGTAATTGGGTTTCAGTCATACAATGATCAAGCACCCATTCCTCCACCAGTGTACATTTCCAATATCCCCCATCTCCCCACCCCCATACCCCAATCCCCCAACCCCCACCTCCAGCCTCCCTCTATGGGAGACGCTCTCTCTCCTTTTTCCTTTTGCGCATTATGGTTTGCAATATAGGCTGGAGCGATAGCACAGCGGCAGGGCGTTTGCCTTGCACGCAGCCAACATGGCCGACCCGAGTTCGATTCCTCTGCCCCTCTCGAAGAGCCCGGCAAGCTACCGAGAGTATCTCGCCCGCACGGCAGAGCCTGGCAAGCTCCCCGTGACATACTCAATATGTCAAACACAGTAACAACAAAGTCTCCAATGGAGACGTTACTGGGCCCGGTCGAGCAAATCTACGAACAATGGGAGGGCCTTTACCTTTACCTTACAGGTTCAAGGCTAAATTTTTTTTCTTTTTGGGTCACACCCAGAAATGCTCAGGGGTTACTTCTGGCATTCATGCACTCAGGAATTACTCCTGTTGGTGCTCGGGGGACCATATGGGATGCTGGGAATCAAACCCAGGTCAGCCGCAAGCGAGGCAAACACCCTACCCGCTGTGCTATCACTCCAGCCCCACCAAGGCTAAAATTTTTTTTCTTTTTGGGTCACACCCGGCGATGCACAGGGGTTACTCCTGGCTCTTCACTCAGGAATTACTCCTGGCGGTGCTGGGGGACCATCATGGGATGCTGGGAATCGAACCCGGGTCGGCCACGTGCAAGGCAAACGCCCTACCCACTGTGCTATCGCTCCAGCCCCAAGGCTAAAATATTTAAGTGCTCAATGTGCCTGCTCAGTAATGTTGGAGATGGTCAGGTGTATCTGTCTTCTCAGCTGACCCTGAGTTCACAGTAGGAGCCACTAACTAGGTTGCAGGCATGGTCCAGCTGTCACTGGCCAATGCCACTGAGGCTGTGGTGGCTTTCTGGGTTCTATGGGACCAAGTGTAGCTTCTCAGAGTGGCTCAGCTGTTGTCTGCTGGTCAGGTCATCTGCCTTGCAATGGGGAGACTTTGCGGGGGCTGAGGGCAGAAACAGGAAGGAGAATGAAGAGGGGGTGCTAGATGTGCTCCAGTAACTGCGTGGGCTGAGCCTGGCCCTGGGTCAGTGTCTGCATTGAGGCTGGTGTCTTTCCAGAAGCTACCACTGACCAGTTGGTCTGACCACCCAAAGGAGCAGTGGGAGCCAGATTCAGAGGTAGGACCACGGAGACACAGACACTTTTTTTTATAGGCTTTTATTTTATTTATTTATTCATTTATATTTTTGGCTTTTTGGATCACACGTGGCGATGCACAGGGGTTACTCCTGGCTCTGCACTCAGGAATTACCCCTGGCGGTGCTCAGGGGACCATATGGGATGCTGGGGATCGAACCAGTGTCGGCCGCATGCAAGGCAAATACCCTACCCGCTGTGCTATTGCTCCAGCCCTGACACAGGCACTTTTGAGATGTGCGTAATTCTGCTGTGTTTTCTGTGCGGACACTGGGGGTCCTTCTGGGGTCACCTGAGGCTGAGTTGCCTCTGGTTGGAGGAAGCCTGAGGCAAAAACAGCAGCTCTGTGACTGTGTGGCTCAGAAAGGAGTTGATGGGACTTGTCTATAGCAAGATTTGGCATCAGAATTTTCTTTAGCAGGGCCAGAGCAATAATACAGTGGCTAGGGCCCATCTCCATTACCCTAGGTGGTGCCCCAAGTCCACCAAGAATGATCACTGAGCACGGAACCAGAAGTAAGCCCTGTGAGTACCACCAGGTGTGGCCAAAAAAACAAACAAAATAATAACAGTATTCCTTAGCAGTTGAAATCCTATGGAAACATTCCTCACATTGGTGCTTAGAGGAGATTCTGAGGGAAAATGTAGATGGAAAGCTGAGGGATTTTAATTATGTACCCAAGAAAAGAGGAATATTTCAGAGCACTCCAGGGCTAAGAGGTCTCTGTGGTTTTCTTTTTTATTTTTCTTTTTTTAAATACACATAACATATAGGGCCAGAGTAAGAGGGCAGGGCATTTGTCAGGCACGTGGCTGACCGAGGCTTGATCCCCAACACCCCATATAGTCCCCAGGGCTGGCCAGGAATGATTCCTGAGAGCAGAGCAGAGCCAGGAGTAGCCCAAGTATTGCTGGATGTGACCCCAAAACCAAAACTATTAAAGTAAAAACCAATAAAGGTAAAAATAAAGTCTAAAAAATCTCAGAGGTGACTGTGGGGCGGTACCACCACTCCAGGGATGCAGCAGGGCCAGGCAAGCAAGGGATCACCTGGGGAGCCCCTCAGTGAAGGCTTGGGGGCCTCCGACTGGGAAAGCAAGGAGCCCATCTTTCACATGTGATTAAGGACACGACACCCACTTCTGCCAGCCACTCCAGGAGGTTTCTCCTGTTTTGTTTTGGCTTTTGGGTTACACCCAGCAATGCTCTGCACTCAGCAATCAATCCTGGCAGTGCTCGGGGGGACCTTTGGGGATACTGGGAATTGAATCCAGGTCTTTCGCCTGCAAGGCAAATGCCTTCCCCTCTGTATTATCACTTTGGTCCCCCAGTAGGTTTGTCCTGAGTGAGGGGAGTGTGGTGGCCCCTTGGGAGCACCATGATGGCAGGAGGCAGCAGCGCCTGGGATTCCAGCTCTGACTCTGCAGCCATCAGACTTGGAGACTGAGAGAAGTAAATGCTGGCATAGAGAGTTTGGGACCAGAAGTGAGTCTTTCCTGTTGATAAAGTCACCAAACAGTTTTTTGGTTTGTTTTGTTTTGGGTCGCTCCGAGCGATACACAGGGCTTTCTCCTGGATCTATGATCAGGGGTGACTCCAGGTAGAGTTTGGGGGAGCATATGTGGTGCCAAGTATGGGACCTGGGTCAGTCACATACAAGGCAAGTGTTTTTCTCCTACACTATCTCTCCACAAACACTTTCCAAAATCAAGGCCATCCTCCAAGAGAGAGTGCAGGTGAGTTAGTGGACTAAGGATAGAAATTAATCCTACCTGTGTGGTGGGAAACTGAGGCTGTGATGGAGGAGAATGGAAAATGCACTGGAAAATGTTTAATCTAAAACCATGCTAGAACATAGTGTGCATCAATTTAAATATCCATTTTAGGAATTTTTTAGGAGTTAGTACAGCAGGTAAGGCACTTACCTTGTGTGCAAACGACCTGGACTTAATCCCAGCACCCCATACAGTCCCTGGATCTCCACCAGGAGTGACCCTTGACTGCGGAGTCAGGAGCAGCCCTGAGTACTGCCGGGTGTGGCACATAAAGCAATCCATTTTAGAGGCTGGAACAATAGCACAGCCGGTAGGGCATTTGCCTTGCACGCGGCCGACCCGGGTTCGATTCCCAGCATCCCATATGGTCCCCTGAGCACTGTCAGGAGTAATTCCTGAGTGCTGAGCCAGGAGTAACCCCTGTGCATTGCCGGGTGCGACCCAAAAAGAAAAAAAAAAAAAAAGAAAAAAATCCATTTTTGGAGCCAAACAGATCGCACAGGGGTTAAGGTGCATTTTTTGCACTCAGTCAATCCCGATTCAGTCCCTCGTCTTCAAGCATCACCAGGGATGACCCTAAGCACTGCCAGGGTATCCCAGGTGTGACCCCTGGCAGTGCTGAGCAGCACTGCATGCTCGAACCCTTGCACTTAACTCTATGTCTGGTTGGTCAAGACTGACTGGAAGGCCCCTTAGGAGAGCCGCCCAGAGAGCAGAAGCCCTGGGCGGGTTCCACAGAGGGACAGGGAAGTAGGTGTCAGGACCCAGGGTGGCAGCCTCTGTGCTTTAACAGACCCGATGCCGTGGTCTGGGTGCATGCTGCTGCTGCTGCTGTGGGTGCTGTTGGGGTCCGGCCACAAACGACAACTGTCCTCACACAAGGTGAGCCATGTCCACTCACACCCACCCCTGCTCCTGCACGGCTCCTCCTCGGGGCCACCTGCAAAGGCAGGTGAGAAACCACGCCTCGTCACCAGCACTGGCATCCCCAGGTGCGTGGCACTTTTGTCCAGAAACCGATGCCCTGCCACCTGGACGCAGAACAGGGCGGGAGTCTCAGGGATCCAAGAGGGGCTCAGAGCCTCGAGAACGCCCCACCTCTCATGCTGCTGGCCCAGGACAAGGGGGCTCCTGGGTCTAACAAAGCCACACTCCCCAGGGCCTGATTTCCAAGCCACACTGCTGCCCACATACCTGGCACAGCTTGCCTTGGGCCTCCTGTCAGCCAGGCCAACTCTCTGGTGTTTGCTCCCAGACTGGAGCAACCCCAAAATAGCTTCCCTGTACAAAACCCTTCCAGAAAGCCACTGTTTGTCCAGGACCCGGCAGCTTCCTGATCCTAGTGGGGTCTGTGAGGCCAAAGAAATTACCATATGCCCCAGGCATCAAAGAATGTCAACAGGCTAGTGGTCACTGTGGCTGTGCAGGAGCCTCAGGTTGGCTGCAGCCCTGCCACTGGGAACCAGAAGTGCTCAGGAGGCAGCTGGATGCTGGTCCTGTGGCCCTTCTTCCTCCTGGGTGGCCACTGTGCCTCAGCATGCTTCCCTTGTCCACACTGCTCCCCTCAGGCACCCTCCCGCAGACCCTGTCCTCCCTTCCCTCCTCCCCTGGCCACAGTGACTGCTCAGGGAGTGGAGCTAGAGCTAGGGTCAGGGTAGGGTCCTGGCAGCCTGACATTGCAGGGCATCGGGGAGGCCTGCGAGACACACTCAGAGTGTCAGAGCAAATGCTGCAGCACCAACAGCCTTAAACAGCAGAAATTCTGCGTACCCCAGACCTTCTTCCTGACCTGCCCGCCCTGGAGTAAGGTGAGCCACATCCTGGGGAGGGACTGTGGGGGCAGGGTGAGCCAAGTCAGAGCGATCCCACGTCCTCGCCCGTAGCCTGATGGGTATTCATGCATTCACCACACGGACTGCTGGAGCGGCTGCTGCACCACCACCAGCACCAGGAGCATCACCTTCTGCAAGCCCAAAACCCTCTTCCTGCAGTGTCTGCCCTGGAAGAAGGTGGGCTGTGGGCAAGGCGGGCCAGGCTGGGGTGGATTTCCTGGATGCTGGGGTAACCTGTGTCCTGTGTCCCAGCCCACTGGGGCTGTGTGCATTGAACACAGGGAATGTGAAAGCCAGTGTTGCATCAAGACAAAGCAGCCCAACCAGCCCAAGTGCATCAAGCGCAGTGGAATCCTGGCCCTGTGTCTGTCTGTGGTGAGTCCCCAAGCAGCCACACTCGGGGCGGTGTGGGCAGAGGGTGAACTGGGTGCCAGGTGCTGCTGGCTAGTGGGGCCCACAGGAGAGACTGCTCTGTGCCTCCACCAGCTCAGGTTGCCTCCCCAGGAACTTGCACAGAGCCTGGGGCTGAGAGCAGGCGGGCTGTCATTCCACTCAGAGGACAGAAGCCTGGATGGGATTAAGGGCTGATGGCTAGTGGGACCCGCACAGGGGGGTGGGACGGTACAGGGACCAGCACCTGGAGGGTGCTACCGCTTTGAGTTGGAATGTGCAAACAACAGAGCAGCCCCCAGAGTACACCCTGTCTCCAGGGGCCCCTCCCAGCACCTCTGAGTGTTCATGCTCGGGGTACTCAAAAGTGAGGGAGTGCAGGGAGATGAAAGAGGGCAGGAGATGATGGGGTGCAGGAGATGTTGGGATACAGGGATGATGGGGTAAGGAGATGGTGAGTACAGGAGATAATGGGGTTAAAAATGATGGGGTACAGGGGATGATGGGGTACAGGAGGTACAGGAGATGATCAGATACAGGGGGTGATGGGTACAGGGGATCATGGGATTCAGGAGATGATGGAGTACAGATGATGGGGACAGGACACAGGTCTGGGAAGGAGAGAGCTTGTGTGGAAATTGGTTATTGCTAAGTCACCTGCTCAGGGGGAACTGATAGGGGCTTCTCCCTCCACTGAGTTAGGAGCCCAAGTGAGCCCAAGCACATCCTGAGCCCTCAGGTCAGCTGCAGGGAGCTGGCGCGGAAGAGATGCTCAAGAACGCCCCCTGCAGGTGGCCTGCATATTCTGCCTGGGGCCCTGTGCCAGGTACCAGCTGCTGAAGCTCACCCCTATTAAACAACCCTCTAATGGAAGACCCAGAGGATTTGTTATGAACAAGAGACACCCAGGCTTTGGGTACCACATTGGAATAATGGCATCTAATCCCCCTAGATTAATAAATAAACTCAATGCAATTAGACAAAAGTTTGATTGTGGGTTTTGTTTTGCTGGTTTTGGGGTCACACTGGGTATGCTCAGCGCTCACTCCTGATTCTGTGTTCTCAGACAGAGCAGGGTGTTCTCGGGTGTGGGCACTGCCCAGGGGCATGTGGCTCCCTGCTGGGAAGCTCCAGGTGTGCCCTGAGCGCCAGTGGACACTGCGCCCCTGGAGACCCCACACCTCAGTGATGCAAATGCCCCCCAACCTGCAGCTCTTCTTGGGGCCAGAGATCAGCGGGTGTCCCCCATTCCTCCCAGCAGGGGCAGTTGCTCACCAGCCAACCCAGCCCGCCCCAGCTCCTAGCTCTGCCCCTGCACCCCTGTCCCCCAAGTTCTCTGTGTATGTCTGTTCCCTCCATGGGCTCCCCTGAGGTGAGGGACAGGGTCTGGACAACTTGCCCTCATGCAGGAGGCCCTGGGTTCCTTCACTGGCCCCAAATACTCTTTCTGTTCATGTCAACAGATGCTTCCTGGGGACACCCATGGACATGGGCACATCGGGGCAGCCCCAGCACACAGTCCTGATCCCAATTTCCTAGGGAAAAGCCACTGGTCCCGGCTCCAGTCCACCTGCTTTTAGGACTCCAGGGGTTGGCCTTGGCCCTGGCCCACTCTGGAGACCCCTCCTCTGAGGAATGTTTACAGAAGACTCCAGGGGGACGTCTCCAGTGAGCACCTGCCCAGACCCTGGGCACACAGGGCTCCCAGCAGCGCCGCCACGCCTCCACCGACCTGGCCACCGGCCCCACTTCCCACCACCCGGGCTCTGCAGCAAACCACAGGGAACCACAGCTGCGGGTGTCTTCCCACCAGCTCCGGCTGGCATCCCGGAGGTTCCAGGGAGGGGCCACCAGGGGGCGCTGCAGCCCCAGTCCCATCTCAGCCTAGCCGCCCCACCTGTGAGGGAGCCAGGAGGGTGGTCAGGGGCACTGCACAGCTCCGGACAGACATCCTTGTCCCCACGCGGCTAGAGAGTTACCGTTCGATGACCGATTTTTGTACGGGGTGCTGAGCAACCCGAGATAGTTCTCTGACCCAGATATATTCTTTTAATTTTTTAACTCTGGGAAAAAAGTTTTTTTTGGGGGGTCACACCCAGCAATGCTCCGCACTTCGGGATCATTTCTGGCAGCACTCAGGGGACCATATGGGGTCCAGGAATTGAACCCAGGGCAAGGCCCTTCCCGCTGTGCTATCTCTTAGCCCCAAGTTCTATCCTTTAATCCATTTTTTTGAGTTTTATCTGCTGATCATTTGATTTCAAAGGCTTCCGGTGAGATGTCTCACTGGGTGCAGGCTCACTGCATGGGTGCAAGGGTTTGGAATTGGGCTTCCTTTGAAGCATCCAGCAGCTGCCCTCAGCAGCGCCTGTGGAAAGGAGGCCTCTCAGCACTCAGATCTCCACGTGCATCTTGCTGCATCAGAAAAGCCCTCCTTAGCAATGAGGTCTCTTACCAGCCCTAGCCTGGGACACCGGAGGACTGGTGTGGAGGGACCCCCACTGCCTCACAACTCAGTGTTCCGTGTTTAGTCCCTCACAGGGCTCCAATTTCTTGCTCCCTCCACCCCTACCCACCCATGGGTCCCTAAACTGGGGGTGTTGCACAGCCTGCAGCCACCAAAGGCAGAGCAGGTGACAAGGTGCTCCCAGCAGACACACAGAGTGTGAGACTCAGAGCTGAGGCGGGGCACACACACAGGCCCCTCAGCCACCACCAAGTTCTGGGTGAGGCATCTCTTTCCAAATGTGCATGGCAGATTAGGACGTGTCCCCCCAGAATGGGGGCGACACCCAGGGGCAAACAAGTGGGCAAGTCCAGTGAAGAGAGGTGCGGTTCCTGGATTGAGGGGGCGTGGGGGGTGGAAATGGCTCTGCCCCGAAGCACCTGTTTTACGTGTGAGGCCTTGCCGGGGCCGTGGGGGCAGCAGGAACAGCCCTGAGCTGGGGACCCAAGTGGGACAGTCAGTGCTGTGTAAGCCCTTCTGTAGCCATCACACTGGCACCTGTGTTGCACATCCCTGTGTATCAACTCTGACCCAGGCTGCCCTGCCCTCACTGAGGGAGAGCACAGACCCAGAAGGTAACTGAGCCCACAGTGAGAACGGCCAGTGTAGTATCACGCCGTCACACCCCTCACACTGACACTCCACTTTGTGGAGGGTGCTGGCAGTGAAGCTTACGGAACACATGCTCTGGGCTGCAAGCGGCCAAGGGTACCAGAAGCTTCTTCAAGACACCCAACCCAGCAGGTGGGGACAGTCTCCACATGAAGACTTTTTTTTTTGCTTTTTGGGTCACACCCGGCGATGCACAGTAGTTACTCCTGGCTCTGCACTCAAGAGTTACCCCAGTGGTGCTCGGGACCGTATGGGATGTTGGGAATTCAACCCAGGTTGGCCGCGCGTAAGGCAAACGCCCTCCCTGCTGTGCTTTTGCTCCAACCCCTCCACACGAAGACTTCTGACACAGTTTAGACTTTTGGTGAGGAGGCTGAGACAGGATCCAGGAGAAAGCAGGTAGTGCTAGAAAAGTCTTTCATAAAGCCTCCTTGGGGAGGAATCTATGCCCCTCTCGTTTCGATCAACAGCCTGTTTAATGCTTCTCAAACCAGGTAATTCTGTACAATAGAATAAGGCGAAACCCAGGTTCCTTAATGTTATTATTTTAATATATATCTGTAACTTCGGTTCCAAGTACCGAGGGAGGCCAGAGCCCGGCCTGAGGGGCATCACAGTGCGTTGGACAAAACGACCGCATTTTCCCCATAAATAAGACAAGGAAACCCTGGGGCTCTAAGGTGGGGTCTGAGGCCGTAAAACTGCAAATCCGAACTAAAAAAGCAAAACTCTCCTTTTCATCTCTTTCAAACGTCTAAAGAGCATAAAATTAAGAAAAATACAAATCTATTAGAAACGCCTCTCACTGGAGGGCAAAGCTGTACAAACTCGCATGGGGGCAGCTCGGGCAGGGCCACGGGTGTCGGGCACTACCGCGCCTCCACCTCGGGCGGGTTGCGGGACGGCGAGTAGTCGCGGGCCTCGCTGGGGGCTGCCAGCGACGTAGTCCGGGGGTGCCCGGTGGGAGTGGGGGGCACGGGCGGCACACGCGCGGCCAGGAGCGCAGTGGGCAGCAGGCCGGGGCCGGGGGGCAGCACCGCTTCCCGCCGCGCTCGGGGCTCGGGGCTGTGGCGCTCAGGGGGCCGCTGGGGCAGCTCCAGGAGGGGGGCGTCGCGGGGCGGTTCCCAGACGAAGGGGGGCACGGGGCCCGGGCTGGGGTATGGGGCCCCGTCGTCTTCGCGACGCTCTTCTTTGACCTTCACAGCGCCCCGCGGCCGCTCCGGGGGTCCCATGGGCCTGGGGGGTGAAGGCGGGCGCGCGGCCTCCCGAGCTGGGGAGCGGCTCTCCTTGATGCGGGGCGGAGGCGGCAGTGGCACGGGGCCAGCCGGGGAGGCCCGGCTCAGCAGGCGCTTGTCCAGGAGCTCCCTGCATCGGGGAGACACGCTCAGCACGGCACCAGGTTGGAGCCTGGGGCCAGGGGCCCAGGCCACTCCACCGAGAGTCCCTGCTTTGCCAGCGTCCCGGGTTGGCCCTGGGTGCAGCTTCCAGTTGGCCGTTCCCTCCGCACCCTCAGAAAAGCAGGGTTGGAGGAGGGCAGAGGGCACGCCTTGGCTCACAGACCCTTCCCAGCCCTGCCCAGCAGCCTCTAGCCTTTGTCCTGCCCCCACCCTCCATCCCTGACCCCACTCACGCCCACAATCCTGTCCCTCCCGCCCCTAAGGCAGCCCCTGGAGCACTTACCGTCCCCAGCCCTTGTCAGGCTCTCGGCCATGGTCCGTTAGGGCTGACACTCGCTCCAAGTCTGAGGGTCTGGGCCAGGGGGGCGGTGCCCGGTGCAGCCGGCTCCAGGCCTCAGCTGCACTGTGCAGACCGGGCAGCGCTGAACCCTCCTTGGGGACAAAGATGCCACCTGCGCCAGGGAGGGCGGGAAGCAGGTGGGTATCCACCACACCCACCAGCTGGGAGCTGCTGCGTGGACCCCCAAGGGGTGAAGAGAGGGGGCGGGGACACTCACTCAGCGAGGGACTGCGAAGGCTCCCCAGGCCCCCGAAGGTGCTAGATCTGCTGAAGGCATCTGTGAGAGGCAGGTGCACAACTCAGGGCTGCAGGTGGTCTCAGGACCCCTGCACCTAAGGGTGCCCCCTCCCTCTGACCACCCCTTGCAGAGTGCCTCACTTTAGGGCACCTACCTGGCAAGTGGCCCATGGGCAGAAAAGTGCTGGGGTGGGCGGCAGGTCCGAAAGGAGCAACGGAGTGGGCAGCACCTGTGAAGGAGGCTGAGGGGTGCACCGGGGTCTGGGGCCTCCGGGACCCAGCCCACCCACACCAGAAACCGTGAGGGCACTCATGGGGTCTTCCTCATGGTTCCCACCGCACTCGAGGGCTGGACCCCGACCCCCGCCCCAGTCCTCTCTAGGGAGTGCAACCTCACGCCTCATCCTTTTGGCTGGCAGTTGCAGTCCCACCGAATCTGCCCACATAGCCCATCCCAGTGTCCTGCTAGTATGACCCAGCCACGGACATGTCCCGCCCACATGGCCCAGTCAGCGTGTCACCCTCATGACCCAGCCACGGTGTCCCACCCACGTGGTCCAGTCAGTGTGTCACCCATATGGCCCAGTCACTGTGCCCCATCTTCCTGAGGAGAACTGCATCCCTCTCATCAGGCTCCAAAGGTCCACTTGGGGGAACAGGGGTCCACAGTCTGGGGGTGAGGTGCCCTGGCCTGGGCTCCAAGTGTCCCCAGGAGGAGTCCCCTCTCTGATGTGACTCAGTTTGGGAGAGCTCCAGTTAAGCCTGGGACTGCTCAGGAGTGAGACCCTGAGATGCTCCTGGACATCTTCAACAAAGATGGGAGTGAACAACAGGTCTGGAGGATTCTTTTTCTCCAGAAGGGAAGAGTGCCTAGCAGTGACCCAATGGGGGAACAGGAGCAATAAGAAGGTAAATGAGGACAAGGAAACAGGGAGGGGTAGGCGGAGGGACAGGAGAATGAACGGGCGGGGGGAAGGTGCATGGGCATGGAGAGATAAGGGGGGTGAGAGGGCCAGGGGGAGACAAGGGGACAATACTGGCAGGAGAACAGGACACGGTGCCCATGTACACAGGCTCCCGCTCCCCAGGGGAAAGGCCCTTGAGGCCTGGACCCCGCGGCCCCAAGCCCACCTGAGCTGGAGAAGAGGGGTCGAGTCAGGCCCTGCGGGCTTGGGAAGTGGGGGCCGGCGAGCGCACCAGGGGCAGGCGGTCGGCTGAGCGTGTCCAGCTGGTGGGGGTCCAGCTGCATCTGCTGAGAGGGACAGCGGCTGCCTGCAGGGACCCCCAGCCTCCGAGTGCTGCTGGGGTCGTCGGCAGGCATGCGCTCAGTTCAGAAGGCGGGGCGGGGTGTGCTGTGCCCTTACAGCTGGTCCCACCTCGGGGCCAAGGGCGGGCCGGGAAGCAGACCCACCCTGAGCCCGCCCGGCGATGTGGGTCCACAGACTGAGTGCTAGAACCACTCACTCCCCTCCCTGTGGGGGGTCCAGCCCCACTCACACAGCTGCTCGCCCACCCTTCCAGGCACGATTCAGGGCCTTGGGTGGAGGTGCGTTTGCTGGCGTGCCTTAGGACTGGGGTCCCCTGTGCCGGCAAGGCCATCTCACACGTCACTCAACCTACAGCCCCAGGTTCCTGGGCAGGATGCCACCCCAGCCTGGCAATCCCGGACTGGGTTTCTGCTCACTGTCTCTCACATCTGCCGGGAGCTGGCAGCCCTCACTCACCTTCATCTTCTGCTGATGGTGGTAGATCTGCCATGCCGTCTGCACGTGCACCGCGCACCAACGCCCCGGCCTCTGTGGGGATGCACACACAGCCTCAGCAGCGCCTGAGTCCCGTCACGGCACCCCATGGCCTCCCAGCACCCAGAAGTCCTTCCACACCATTTCTTGGAAGACCCACCAGAATGACTTCTTTCTCCACAAGAGACACAGGTATTAACACAGATCCTCACACAAACATGCTTACACACAGAGAGACCCTCACACACAGACCCTTGTGCACAGAGACCCTCACAACACACAGAGACCCTCACACATACAGACCCTCACACACAGATCCTCATACATACACATACTCTCACACACATAGACCCTCATGTACACACAGAGACCCTCACACACGCACATAGACCTTCATTTACAGAGACCCTCACACATACAGAACCTCACGCACACACACAAAAACCTTCACACACACAGATCATCACATACATATACACTCATGTATACACACAAAGACCTTCACACACACACACACACACAGACTGTCACATACACACATTTACCCTCACAGATTCTCTTACACACACAGACCCCCCCCCCGCAGACCCTCACATACGCATATACCCTCACACACAGTCTCTCTCACACACACATACAGAGATCCTCATACACAGAGAGACCCTCAGACATACACACACACACACACACACACACACACACACACACACACCCATCCCACAAACTCACCTTGATGGCTGTCCGGTACCCGTCAGAAACCTGTCGTTGACAGAAGGAATGTTTAGGCCCTGGCCCTATGGGGGACTTGCCTGGACACCCCTCCCCCGCGAGTACCCACACCTACCCCAGGGGCTTTCTGCAGGAGGGCGTGGACAGTGCTGGCCCGGCCTGCTACCTCCAGTGGATTTGCGGTCTGAGGGGAGAGAGGGAATGAGAACTTGGGGAGTCTGGGCCCCCTTCACGGAACTACACTCTCAACCCAGGAGTGTCTGTAAAGGCAAGCAGAGGGGCCTCAGGGCCATCCTACAGTATGGATGGTCTGGGCGGTCAAGAGGGAGCAGCCCCGAGGGAGGGGGGTGGACGGAGCATGCTGGGGTCACCCTAGAGCAGAGACAGGCTCTGCCTGTACTTCCCAGTTCAGGCAGAGCCCCTCTCGGCCTGCCTCCCCACAAGGCTGAGCATGCCCGGGGGCAGTCGGTCGGTACCTTGGGCTGAAAAGCGCCCTGCAGGGACCCAAAGGGGCCAGGGTGTGGGAGCAGGGTGGGCAGTCCCGGGATGGCAGGAGAGAAGAACTGCAAGAGAAGGAGGGCGGCCCAGGGGCAGGCTGGGTGCTGGGACACCCTGGGGCGTGGTCATGCACCTGGCTGGAGGCCTGGGAGCCACCCCCCACCCCCACACCCCCCGCCGCTGCCCCCAGCCCAGCCCACCCACATCAGTGCACACAGGGCAAGGCAGGGCTGCAGTGGACACCCAGGGATACTCACGTTGGAATGTCGGAAGTAGGGGCTGTCCAGCTTGGGTGCATATTTGTCAAACTACAACAGGAGGCACAGGGTGAGGCTCCCCATATTCCAACGCACTCTGCGGCCCGGCTCCCACCCACCAGGGGCCAGACTGGCTTTCTTGCTCCCAGGGTGACCAGCTGGGCCAGCTGTTTCCTACAGCTCCCCGCCCCACCTCCCACAGCCCCCCCGGGAGGCAGCAGTTGCGCGGGGGTGTGGGCTGGACACTGGGAGGGGAGGCCTAAGCTCAGAGGGAAGAGGGGAGGGCAGGCAGTGGCCGGGGGAGCTGTGGGCCTGGGTGCGTGCGGGTGAGCAACTGTGAGTCTACGCACCGGCGGGGGTGCCAGGGGTGGAGCGAGCGGCGTCGGGGGCAGCCCGGCGGGGAAGGGGGCGAATGTGTGTTGGTGCTGGTGTGTGTGCTGGTGTGTGTGTTGGTGCTGGTGGAACTCCGCCCGCAGCAGAGCCCCAGGGCCCAGGGGAGCGCCGGGCGGCTCCGCGCTCTGGACCAGAAACCGTGCGTTCAGCTCTTGCCTGAGCAGCTCGTGATCTAGGAGAGAAAAGAGAGAGAGACGGAGAGGCGCGTCGGCCGCGGGCTCGGGTGGGGCGAGGCGGGTAGTCACCTGGCACTCCCGGGGTCGGTGGCCGCTGGCTAGGTGCGGGCCCAGGGGAGGAGGGAGCAGAGGAGCCTGTGCCCAAGTACCAATCAGAATCCCCGCATGAGGCTGGCAATACATGATTGGCGGGCTGAGTGAGAGCAGCAGGCTGGCATCTGAGGAAGAGAGAAGAGTGAGCCCCGCCGGCGCCCGCAGTGCCCCCTGGGTGCTCTGGGGCTCGCTGGCACATCTGCCCCAACATGCCCTTCCCACCGGAGAGGAAGCCCCTGGTGGCGGGGGAGTAGAACCCAGCCCGTACCCGCAGCCCTGACCTACCAGCGGGGGGTCCGGGGAGAACCAGGCCGTTGGTGGGCAGCGGTGGAGGCAGAGGCAGAGCCGGGGGGGCAGCAAACATGGCCGCAGGGTGCTGGTGCTGGGCTTGTGAGCACAGCGCCAGGTGTGAGGTAGAGAGGTGGGCCCCTGGCCCATGAGGCGGCAGGGACAGGTGCTTCGTGAGCCCGAGGCTGAGCCCACTGCTCCTGCTGTAAGGACGGAGGATCAGTGTGCGCAGGGGACCCACACCTCTGCACCCCCACCCCCGGGCCCCACCTACCTGAGGCCGTGCAGGCCGTTGTGTGCGGCCTGGCTGTGGCTGTGTCCGTGGCCCTGGCAGGCACCCAGGGAGAGAGGCACAAGCGCCGGGGGTGGGGCCCGGGGCTGTGGGGGTGCAGGTGGCAGCTGTGGGGTGAGGCGGGGCGGGGCAGGGGCTTCCTTCTTGACAGGTGGGCTAGCCGGGGCGCCCTGCATGGGGCCAGCGGGTGCAGGGCTGTGTGCGGAGGGCAGGAAGGGCGGCTCGGAGCTCAGCTCACGGCTACGCTCCAGGCCCAGCGCCTTGGCCTCAAACTTCTCCTCCTGCGAGTGGTCTGCGGCGAGGGAGAGGGGACAGGTGAGGTGGTTGCCCCATTGGCTCTTGAGCTGTCTCCACCTCTGAGGTGCAGGTGGCCAGGCCAGCCCCCACGCTCCAAGAGGGTCTCCCCCTCCCCCAGGCTATTGCAGCCAATCAAGCTCTTGGGAAGGGGGGGTCCCTATCAAATCCCCCAGGAACAAAAACCTGGCTGCTGGGTGGCACCAAGATCAAGCGTGAAGCTGACAATCCCATCCCCATCTGCCGAGGCGGGCTGCCCAGGACATGGGCTCCTTTCTCCCTGCTCACTAGTGCCTGGTTCCCATCATTAAGTGCATCATCACGGCGGCCATTGCCACCAACACTCCCAGAACCTTCTAGACTCCCAGACTCCCAGGAGTCTTTACACAGTCCCCAGCACTGGGTGAGGAGTCAGGGTCCCCCTGGCTCGCTGCTCCTCCTCAGGCCAGCAGACGTGGGTGGGACCCTGCACACTGTTCTGCATGTCCCCAGAATTCACTGGGTCCCCAAGTTCTGGTCCCCTGGGGATGAAGTAGACAGAATCACAGTGACAGTTACCAGCACCTGTGAGCTGTCTCTGCTGCAGTGACTGTTCTGCCCTTGGCTCAGGGACAGTCCCAGGAACCAGGTAGCACAGGCAGGGCAGGGCCTTGGAGGGGAAGGGACGGGCCTTGGACTTTTTCACCGCCGGCTCCAGTGTGCGGCCCCTCCAGTGTGGCCACCACAAGCCAAGGGCCGTTCTCTGCACTGGCTCGGCAGACGTGGGCTCACCTGAGCAGCAGGCCCCCGGAAGCACTGGGATGGAACTCACTTCCCCACCTCCCAGAGCCAGGCCTTGACTGCCCAAGTCAGCCCTCAGGGAGCCTCCTGGCAACGTCGACCTGACCACAGGCCCCAGGGACAAGACTGCTAGCATTTGCTGGAGGGTAGGAACCCCCTTTGGGAAACCCAGCTCCAGTCCGGGGCCCACTTACCTTTGCCAGCTACTGGGCCGAAGAGCTTCCCAGAACCCACAGATGCCTGCAGGAGAAAGATGGCTCAGAGACTGGGGGTCAACCTTGGGGGTCAAGCCCACGCTGCCCCCCACCACATTGGCCCACAGATCACTCTATTAAGGATGGAGCTGAGGGGTTCACAGACCGGGCTTGGGTGCGGCAGGTTCGAAGGTGCCAGCTTCCGGCACTGAGGTTATGTCCCTGAGGAAGGAGCACTTCACAGGGAGCTTATCCCGAGGCAGGTCTCCTCTCTCCGGGGAGACGCTGTAAGGCCGTGCCAAGCACCGGGCCACTACCAGTCGGGGCACTACCCATAGCCAGCACTCCGAGGAACCAGCTGACCAGTGCCTCAACACAGGCCTTCCCTGATTCAGTGTGACTCAAAGTCCCGCTTCTGGAGGGAGGCCTTTCACCCAAGCAGGAAAGGGCAGGTTCAGAGGATGTGGAAGGATGAACCTCTGCCCAGTGGGGCTGGGCAATCCCTGGGACAGCATGGGGCACTTCAAAGGGCTGCGACCCTGAAATTCCACTTGTGGGTGCGCAGACCAAGAGCCAAAGCAGGTGTGATGAAGTCTGCCTTACCCCCTAGGGAAGTCCTGGGAGGGGCGGGGGCACGCCCCACTTCTAGACCCTGGTCCTACTAGGTCCCTGTGCCTGAGGGCTTTGAGGACCAAGTGCAAGTGTGTTCCTGGTCGGGGGCTGGCCCTTGGGGTTCTGGGGTGAGCCTGGGGCCTGCCTCAGTCTTTCCAAAGCAGCCCCAACAATGCTTGCAACAAGCAGAGGTTCTGCAGGGAACAAGAGCGACTCCTGGCTCTAGGCCTGACCCAGGTATGGCACCGCTTGGCCCAGGCTGGCACTCCGCTCAGACAAAGAACTCCACCCTGGGCAGGTGAATGCAGACAAAGGGGGAGTCTGCCTGCCTCCTGGTGTCCTGCCCCATCCCCCGACTACCACGTGTGCCAGGACTGAAACCACCCCCGGACCTGGTGGGCAGCATGGCGCCTGGACCCAGCCCAGAGCTCTGCACTCACCCAGCCTCCAGGCGCTCTGCGGAGGTCCCACTACTTCGCAGCCCCACCCAGTGGCTCCCTCTGTCCTAGCCAGCCCCCCCCCCCCCCCCCGAGCCTGGGCCAGGGGCTCTTGGCAGGCCCGACTAACCCAGCCCCGGGGCGCAGATCTGCGTCCATCCAAGGGCCCTTGCTCCCCGCTCAGTGGAGAGGAAAGTGAAGCGGACACAGGTGCTGCGTGGGCCGGCCCAGACAGCAAAGCCCACCTGCCTCGTGCTCCAGGTGATTGGAGATTGGCCAGTGGCCTCAGGAGTGCACATTGGACGTCCTGACAGCCACCACCCACTGAGAACCTGCCAGAAAGGGCAGCAGGTGGTGTGCCCAGGCCAGCTCCTGGGGCCTTGAGCCTCACAGGTTCCTGCCACGGACCCAGTAAGGCAGCTGCAGAGGGGGCCTGGGCCTAGAGGCGGGCAGGGTCCACAGACCACCCAGCTCCTCAGCTCACTGTGAAGCCACACTTGGCCTCAGGGAGCCGTGGGAAGGGAGGAACCTAAGGGCTGGCTCATGGCTGCAGGAAATGACCCCTGGGCACTCAGTCTGACCCAGCATGGTGACAGGAGTAGGGGGGAGTCCCTCTGGGCCCCCCAAGAGACTGCAGCTGCGCTACAGTTGGGGGTGCCTCTCCTGAGCCCCCAGGGCAAGCCCAGCAGGGCCCCATGAGTGGGTCCCAGCCATAATGCCTGGTGGGTCTTGGTTCCTACACACCCAGGCCAGGGGGATGCTCACTACATTCATCACCAGGGTCCATCAGGTCGGGAAGAAAATGCCCGAAAAACCTGTGCCAAGTGTGCATAGGTCTCCCATGGCAGGTCACTGGGACTGTCCTGGCCTGAGGGCCACCTACACTACAGGGGGAGCTCGGTCCCCAGAAGCAGTCGAGGGCCACACCCCAGCAGGTCAGAAGCTCCCGCCAAAACCGCCTTCTGGCCTGTCTGGACATCCTGCCTCTGTGGACATTCACCAAGGGGCATCTTGGCACTGAGCCGGCTGGTAGCTGTCCATGACGTAACAGCCCCAGCACCCTTCACCCCTCCGCATCCCCTCCAGGACCTGAACGGGCCTGGCTATCAGTTTCCTGGTCCTGCACACAGCACTCCAGTTGCCAGCCCCAACCTCAGTGGGCAAAACACCCTGCAGTGCTGGAGGCCGCTCACTCCTCCTATTTCTGTGCTGGTCACTTGGCTGTTGTCGTGTGGCCAGGGAGGGGTTGTGTGTTTCCTGGGTCGAGGCGGTCTCAACTGTGTCGCGTTTTGCTTTTTTTTTTTTTTCCTTCTGAGAGGTATCACACAGGGCAATACTCAAGGCTCACTTCTGCCTCTGCACTCAGGAATTACTCCTGGTGATGCTCGGGGGATCATATGGGATGCCGGGGATGAAACCCAGGTCAACTGTGTGTAAGGCAAATGCCCTACCCACTCCAGGCACCAGGCAGCCTTGGTGGGTCATGACAACCTGTTTGTCCTGCTCTTTCTTTACATGATCACAGAGGGGTACTTTTGTGAACTCCATTTCAGATGAGAAAACCAAGGTGCTGAGAGAACCCAAGTCAGGCATGAGGCCTGGGGGAATGTGCAGGTGGGGCAGGTGGTCAGGGCAGTGGAGAAAGGGGAGGAGGGGAGAAACAGGGGAGGAAGAGGAGCAAGAAAGATGCAGGGGAAGGAGCAGGGGGAGGAAGAGGGGTAGGGGAGGAGCAGGAGGAAGAGGAGGGACAGGGAAAAGCAGGGGGAGGAGGGGCGGGGGAGTGCGGAGGAGCAGGGGTGAGAGGCTGTGCAGGCCCATCTCAGGCCCCCACTGGGGGGTGAGTAACTCAGAAGGGGTCTGGCCACAGACAGCAGCACCCTCCCCAGTCCCATGGGTCCCAGTACCCTATGAGGACAGGGCATAGGGGACGGCTGTGGCCAAGGCAGAGGTGGGGTGGGGGCATGGCCAGCATGGGACAGCTGGGCTTAGTGCATTTGCTCCAGTGTGCACACACTCCTCACAGCCCACGTCAGCGCTGCACCAGCAGGGGTGGGTGGGCCTGTCTGTGTCCATGCATATGTCCCCAGTAAGCTTGTCATGAACTGCTGTCCCGCAGGGCGGCTCCCCCAAATAAGGGGGCCATCCCCACCACCGGGGCAGACAGCAGCAGATTGAGGCAGCCCTGCGGCCGAGGATGGGGGCCTTTGAGGTGCCCGAGCACAGGCCTCTGCAGTCCCAGTGGCGAGGTGGCTGTGTGATCCCCGGGCACCCCCCTCTAAGGCCATCAGAGGGTTTCCAGGACTCCTGCTTCCCACCCAGTGCCCCAACCACAGCTGTGCTCCTCAGCACTGCTCATCACACAGCAGGGGACAGTGGCTGGGGCCCAGGCACAAGCCCACGTGGAGGGGAAGGCCTGTAGCACCTGTACGGGCCTGTTACCAACTCCTTCCCAGGAGCGGTCCTGCCACGCTGAGACCACATGCAGTGGGCGGTGGGCAGGGATCACAGCGGGTGTTGCTGCTCCAACACGGCCCAGCCCAGCCTGCAAATGTGTGGTGGCTCTGGGCACCCAGCCCCGGTGTCCAGCGCTTACCTTGTCATCCCCGTCACTCTCGCTGTCACACTGTGGGGAGAGAGAAGGGAGTCAGTACCCACAACCCCCCGGGAGCCAGGGGACCCAGAGCAAGCTTTGCAGACTCCAGTCCAGTCCCCTCGGGCCCCTCCTGCCGAGGCCTCTGCTCACAGGTCAGGGGAGGAGTGGTAAGATTGGGGGACACAAGCACCAAGTCCCACTGAGAGGCCTGGGGGCCACGTGCAGTGGGGCCAGCCCTGCCCACAGGCACCTGCTTGTCCCCAGAGGCACCCGAGTGAGGAGAGAGAAGATGACTGCCAGGGTAGAGGAAACAAAGCCAATCTGGGGGGTGAGGCGCTTCCCTAGAAACGGTGAGCTAGACACCACAACAGCGCCCCCGAAGAACACAGGGGGCCTCTCTCCCACAGCCACTGGGCCACACACCCCCTCAGATGGTCAAGCCTGCGACGTGGCCCCACAGAAAGGGCCACGCCTGGTCACTACTAGGAGGCTTCATCAACACAGTGCTGCAGTGGGTGGCCCCCCCACCCCAGCCTCAGGCCTGACCTGGCCTCTCCCCCGCAGCTCTGGCCAGCACCTCCAGAAGCTCAGCGTTTTGGGTGTAGAGCGGGGTACGGTGCCCCAGGGCCCCCTCATCAGCCAACACAGCCGCAGTCAGGGAGCTTCAGCTGTTAGTTCCACAGACAGCTGGGCATGGGGCTGGCCAGGAAACACTTGTCACCTGTTCTGTGCAGTCCTAGAGGAGTTCCTGACCTCTGTGCCTCAGTTTGTCTGTCTGGGGCCACACTCAACGGTGCTCACGGCTCACTTCTGGCTCCGAACTCATAGATCATTCCTGGCTGGCTCAGGGGACCATAGGAGTGTCAGAGATCAAACCTGGGTTGGCCACATGCAAGGCAAGTGGCGGCCTACTCATTGTACTCTCTCTCTGGCTCCAAGTGCCTCAGTTTACTCCTCTGTGAAAAGGAAACAGGCCAACTACAGGTTTGTTGCAAGGTTCCAAGTGAGTACACGCAAAGCTCTAGGTTTGTATTCACATCAGGCACAGCACAGTAGCTACTGCTCCCAGCACCACCAACCTTCACCAACACCATCACTGTCTCTACCACTTTCATTACCATCTCCACCACCTTCACCATCGCCTTCACTACCAGGGTCTCCACCACCATCTCCACCACCTTCATCACCACCATCTCCACCACCTTCACCATCACTGTCTCTACCACCTTCATCATCACCGTCTCCCCCACCTTCACCTCTTCCAATACTGTCTCCTCCAGAGCCACCTTCTCCATGATCATCTACTCTACTGCTGGCACTGTGTCCATAGCCACCACTCCACAGCTATGAGTGACACCTTGGTGACCTGCTCTCATGACCCTTCCTGTTCCCTTGCAACGTCAGGGTTCTGGGGGACAGTACATGTGGCCAACTACACGAGAGTGAAGTCCACATGCCTGGGGTCTACATGTCTCCTCCAGGAAGGGGACCCCTTTTCTGTGCAGGCTCCACGCGGGCAGGGGCTAGGGAGTGGGTGAGCACCAGCAGCAGTACAGAAAATGCTTCTAGCACCGCACCTGCACCACACCAATGTCAGCCATGGACGCTGGGGAGGGCCAGAGGCATGAGGTCAAGGCTCAGCAATGAGACCATTAGTGTGACCCCCACCCCCACGCCACAAACAGGCTGTTGGGAGAGAGAGGACAGTGTCACTCCCAGGGCATCACTGAGGCCCAACTGCAGACCAGCTGCAACAGCACGCAGCAGCAGACAACACTCAGAAACACTGGCTGCCCAACATGGCCTCAGACAGATGTGCCCGGGTACACGTGGGCACACCACACATGTGTCAGTACCTGCTCCGACACAGCCTCAGACAGACGTGCCTGGGCACACGCGGGCACATCCACCACACGCATCGGCACCTTCTGCCCAACACTGCCTCCCTCACAACCACAGAGGGACCCGGATAGCTGTCCTGAAGCCTCTCACCTGCCTACAAGCCCTGTGGATGGCAGAAAGCCACCTCTGTGCTTCCCAGGCATGCCAACAGCACTCAGTCCCACGTACTGCCACCAGGGTGGCTGAGGGTCCCAAGGAAACACGCGAGGCAGTTGGGGCAGAGGCCAGGAGAGACTGAACACCACAGGACATGCTGAGAAGTCCAATCCAGGGGCACCTCAGCAAGCCATCCACCCACCGCCAGCAGCCTGACTGTGAGGATCAAAACAGACACAGGGGTCCTGCCAAGACCACAACACACACCAGAGGCAGCGTGGGGGGGGGGGCAGAGAGTGGGGGGCTGTGAGCGGAGCCTCAGGGGTGCTGCGGGGGAGGCACCGAGACCTTGGGCCTAGCTGTGGGAAACTACTGAGTCCAGATGGCCGAATGCGAGGGGAGGGGGGGACAGGGCCCCCCTCCCAGGAGCACGTGAGGTCACAGGTCATGGCTGCAGCCCTGGGGACCCCCTGATGGGCTCCGGGGCAAGAACACTTACGGAGTAGCCTCTGCCTGAGACCGCCTGCACGGAGCTCTGCGGAGGAGGACGACAGTCAGGAGTGGGCCTCAGAGCGCACGGTCATACGTGCCCTCCCGCATGCCCGTGGCCTCAAAAAGAGTCCCCACCGTCAGCAGCCTGGAGGGTCCGCGGGAGCCTCCCTCCAATGGGCCCCAGGTCCCAGAGAGAAGGAAGCATGGGGCTCCCCAACTCCAGTTCCAGCAAGCAAGGGTTGAGGTAACACAGGCACGGCCCAGAGGGGAGTCGGGGGCCCACTGCACCATGCTCATGCCTGCAGCCCCGCCCGGCAGACACACTCGGGTACTCACATCACTGAGCCGGTCCCGGGAGCTGCTCCTCCGGGACGCGTCCTCGTCACTGTGGGGGTCACCCCCTCTGCACACAGGCACCTTTATCTGGGGACAGGGAGGACAGCTCAGCACACAGAAAGGTGTGGGCACTGGAGGCGGGGCACCGCGAGCCTGGCGAGACCCCAGAGTTGGGATGATGTCTCAGATCTGTTAGTGAGATGCATGCCATGATGCTCTGGAACATTCCTGCACCCCTGGGGTCTGCACTGGGCCCTCCTACTGCCTCAAGCTACAGAGCTACCCCAGTACCCCCGGGGGGCACAAGGCCACCCAGAAGGCATGGCCATGGGCATAGCAGGCCAATATGCCTAGATGGGCAGCCAGGAGGGGCAGGGAGCTGGGCCCTTGGGCCACCCCACTGCCCTCGCTGTCTGACCCATCAGGACATGCAGCAGCTACTGCTCAGCATGTGAGTCCCTGGTGGGGAGCAGGTGGAGAGCACAGGATCTGTGTCACAGTACAAATGACAAGGGACAGGGGGACTTTCCTGGGACCCTTCACTCAGCAGCTATCGGAGGGGGACCCTGGGTCGCAGCTGACAGGAGTCAGGGTGGGGACTGTGGCTGCACAAGAAACCCCCCCGTGAAGGCCCCACTCTAGCTCTGAGCACTGTAGGGATGGGCACTCCATGCCCTGCCAGCCCTTTCCCTGGCTGGGTGCAGCCATCAGTACAGCAGACAGGCTGCCCAAAGGAGCCTGAGGCTAGAGGTCAGCCCCCACCCACCCAGCCGACCTGAGAAGGAGCCTGTAGGGACCCCCTGGGGCACTGCTCCACAGTCCGGTACCCCACACTCCAACAAGCAAGCACCCTGAGCGCCCCACCCTTCCCCCCACAGACAACCAGCACAGCTGGGCACAGGAGCCCTCCACCCCAACAGCCCTCCCATGCCCCCCACTCCTCCCCTGTGCTGCATACTTCCTAGGTCCCCACATGCCCTCCACTCCTCCCCTCTGTGCCTCTTCCTTCTGTACCCCGACACCACCAGGTCACTCCACTACCCCCCATTCCTCCCCCTGTGTCCTCTACTCCTCTCCTTTCTGCCCCCCACACCCTTAGGTCCGCCTACACCCCCACTCCTCCCCTCTGTGCCCCCCACGACCCTCTGTACAGCTCCCAGACAGACAGGTGGACACACACACATGCCTGCAGCATCACCTGCTTAGCCCACCGCGGTCAACCTGGGCTCCCCCTCGAGCAAGTCATGGACGGTGCGCCTAGGCATGCGAGGGCTGCAGAGGCAGAACTCACACCTCTCAAGCTGCAGCTCTTGCGGGTCCAAACCTGCAGAGGGGGCTCATCTGGCCCACACTCCCGCCAGCAGAGGGACCCTGAGATGGGGGTGCTGTGGGTGGGCTGAGCCAAGAGCAAGCACCAGCCCCCTCTGGCCCTTTCCCTGAACGTAGAGGTGAGTTCACCCATAGGAGCCCTTATGGGGATGAGCTCTCACTCAGAACTGGACACCCACAGCTCTGCCCAGACCCCATGGTTCCCACCCTGCTTAACAGGCCACGCAATTCTGAAGAGTACCCTATGCTCACCCCCAGTTCTGGTGAGACCCCTCGCCTGGCTGAGTGCTCCCTGCAGTGCTCAGTGAGCCTGTGTGGGCACCTCAGGACCAAGGCGATGCCATTCCACAGTGCAGGGTGGGGCTGGCCGGGCCTGTGGACACATGCCGGCCCTCTCCACTGACACCCATGTCTGGGCTCTCCTCCATGTCCATACCCCCTCCAAATCCCACAAGATACCCAGAGACTGGGCAAAAGGCAGCACCAAGCGCTGGCCAGCCTGGGAGCCAGCAGGTGGGAGGTGGTAAGGGGCACAGAATGAGGAGTGCCCTCCACCTAGAAGCACTGCCTCCCTAGAAACCTCTGAAGGCTATGGGGGCTGAGGGGAGGAGGGGCCCCGCAGAGTCTGTTTCCATGGGGTCAGCCCAGAAGCCCGATCTGTCCAAAGGACCACAAGTAGCAGGGTGGATGGGACCCAGGGCAGAAGTCTGCCAGAGGCTGCATGGACCCTTCAGGAAGGACCGCCTCGACACTTGAAGTAGGCAGACATCCACATAGGATGGGGTTAGGATGTTACCATGTCGCTGGAAGGAACCCTCCAGAATCATCTTAGCAAGGGAAGGGTTGGGGTGGGGGAGGCTAGGCCTCTCATCGGGACAGAACCAATCACAGCAGCTCTCTGCTCCCTCCTGGTACAGGCTCTGCGGGAGAGCTCCACCTCAGGGCACAAGTTTCAAATGGCCATTTCTGCACATTCTAGTGGGGGCTCCTGGCACACCAGGGCCTAGGGCTGCCATGTTCCTTCTCCCAACTTCCCAGTTACATCAAGCCTGTCTTTTGCCCCCTTCTGGCCTGTGGCCCTGGGCACTGCGCTCAGTGCTGCTCACAGGGGCAGAAGGGCTGGGTAGGGCCTGTTACCAGAGTCAAAATGGGCGACACCAAGGGCAGTGGCCCCTCAGCCTCCCCACTCTGCTCGCTGGACCCTGAGCCACAAGGTGGACAACACCGACTCCAGAGAGCCCCGGGAACCACTGGGAACTCCCAGCAGCTTCCCTTGTCTGGACAGGAGGCAGTCGGCGGATACACTCGGGAACTCTGCACAGAGCTCCCAGCCCTCAGTGAGGTGCCGCGAGAGTCGGTTGGCCAGGTGGAGGACTTATGAACACCCAGAGACACAGAGGACTCCCCCCAACAGGGCCCTGTGAGCACAGCGAGTGGGGCTGGCAGTTTAGGGGGTAAAGCTGCCCCTCTCCAGCTCCGCCTCAGCTCCCAGCCTGGCCAGCAAACATGCCAACACCTCAGGGTACCTACACCCTCATACTGACAAGGGGACAGTGGGGAGACACATAAGGGGTGTCCTCAGAGAAAAGTACACAGCAGAGTGCAGACTCGAAGGTCTACAGAGAAGCGGGGGGAGGGGGACGACACACATATTGAGATCCTCAGACAAGGGGACAGCCGGGTCACCGACTTGGAGGTCCTCAAAGGCACCTGGGCAGCACCACCAACACCCTGCAGGAAGGAGCCCAGAGTACAGGTGGGTGGACGTCAGAGCCACCCCCTCCCCAGGCACAGCTCTGTGTGGGGGCTGCAGCAGAGCTGTAGGTCCAGCTTCCTGCCCCACACGCCAAGTCACCCGCACTGCTGCTGGCTCACGACACAACGGCACCTTTTATTTCCTGACGGCGGACATGCCCCTGCTTCCTCCCAGGAGTGACTCAGAGCCCCCCCCCACACACATTGGGCAGTCTGGAGGTCAGAGCTGAGTCCTGTCTAGTGTTCAGGACGGGGCCCCAAATGGGGGTGCGGGGCGCAGAGCAAGCCCAGGGGCGAAGTCTGTTCCCGCAGGATAGCTGCCCCTTCTTGTCACCAGTGTCTTCGACTTGGCCACCGACGCCGAGCGCCTCTGCTGGACGGGAGGTGCCTCACACCAACCCCCCCATGTCCAAGGCCGAGTTCCAGCAAAGGATGCTCGGGGGGAGGGCAGGTCCCTGGCTCTCACACACGCATACGTCCACACTCCAGGGTGCACGCAGAGATGCCGGTCCAAGAACGCAGGGCACTGTAGCCAGCTCCCTCCTCATCCCCAACATGGTAGGCCCGGCCTGCTGCAGGCCGCTGGGCTCCAGCCGCCAACGGCCGGGCCTCTCTGGCCTCTTCGGCTGCCCACAGACAGCCCTGGCTCCTCCTGATGCAGCCTGGCTGGGGCATCAGGCACCGGGGCTCACAGACGGCGCCTGGCGGGCCAGCGCAGGGGTGCAGGAGCGAGTCCGTCGTGACCGCAGGGGTCGGCAGGGGTGGCCCAGGACCAGGTCCAGCAGGGACCTTCGTGGCTGGCTGGGGGGCTCCAGGAGAGGCCGGCGGAGGAGGGCTGGCCGTCCCAGGAGCGAGGGGCGTTTGGGGGTGGGGAGTAATGGCCGAGGCTTACAGGCTGGGCCCAGAAGGGGCTGCAGGGGCGGTTCTGGACCCAGGAGGGGCCTTTTCTGCTGATGCGGCTGTGCAGGACCTAACAGCGAAGGTTTGGGGGGACTAGGCTGATCCGAGGTTTCCCCTAACTTCTGCGGCTCGCTGGGGCCCAGCAGCGACTGCCGGGGTCGGTCAGGATGGCCCAGGAGGGACCTCCGTGGCTGGCGTGGGGCTAGGAGTGCCTGTCGGGGACAGCGGCACAGGCCTGAGGGGGCAGAGGGGGGTCGTCGGCGCGGACGAAGAGTGAGAAGAGACTGTGGGGGTTGGCACCGTGGACAGTGGGCTGGCAGTGATCGCAGAGGCCGGCGACGCTGTCCTAAGGTTGACCTGAGGGGCTGGCCACGGAGACGTGGGGCGACCCACGATGGCATGGACCAGTTACGATGCCAGAGAGCTAGCAGGGACCGACAGAAGTAACACGAGGCCAGGAGCGACCGCAGGGGCTGGCAACAGGGCCACGGGGCCACAAATGACCGCAGGCGCCGACTGTGGGGCCTGGGGCCCAGAAGCCCACGTGACCAGCAGGGACGAGTCAGAAAAGACCGCTGGGGTGGAGAGTGCTGACTAGGGGCTGGAAGTGGTCGCTGAGGCCAGCAGGGCTGACCTGGGCCCAGTAGTGACCGCCGGGGCCGGTAGGGCTGTCTCCGACCCAACAGTGCCCGCTTTGGCCAGCTGCGCTGACCAGAGGGAGGCCGCTGGGGTGGGCAGGGCTGCCCAGAGTCCGGGGAAGCCCGACGGGGCTGGCAGCGCTGGCACGGGGCTGGGAGTGACCCCGGGGGCTGGCTGGGCTGGAGCTGCTGCTGGAGCTGGGCCGGGCCGTTCTGGTGCCAGGGGGTGGCTGGGAGCGGCCCCCCTTCTGGGGAGCGCACCTGCATGGAAGAAAGAGCACGTGTCCACCTGGGCATGTGTGCCCATGCCCCCCCAGCCCGGACCCGGGTCACATGCGGCCTCACCGGCGGCGATGCCCCAGGGATGAGAGCGGTAAGACACAGAGAAGAACCCTCGGAGAAGGCGCAAACGGTAACTAAGTGCCCCCCAGAGGGAAGTGCTGAGAGCTGAGCCGACACCAAGACAGAACTGTGCTGGGCACCGCCCCCTCCGCTCCCCAGGGCCCTCTGTGCACTCCTCGCACCCAGACACCAAGGCGAGCCCCCGAGTCTCACGGATGCGCGCCTAGCCCCCCACTTCAGACACACTGGACAGCCACAGTCGGCGGAGCCTGGCAGACGCAATGGGGAAACGGGGCCGGCCTAGCAGCAGACGCACCCCCGTTCCAGGGCTCCCGTGGACCCTGCCTCTGGCAGGCAGTGGTCCTACCTCAGGAACCTGTGTGCCCCACGCCCCACGCCCGACAGCGATGGACACGCTGCCGGGAAGGCAGAAGCTAGCGGTGGTGTCCAGGTGCTGGTGGGGCCCCCAGGCACGGGAGGGGGACACAGAGCCCCACATCAGGGGCAGCCTGGTGCTCACCTGCTTGGCGGGCTGCAGAGGGGTCTTCCTGCCCCGGTCGCTGGCGGGCTCTAGGTCCTGTGCAGGGCTGCCCGCGTCCAGGGGCTGCCCGTTCTCACTGGGCTCTGCGGGCGGGCAGCTCTCTGCCTCACGGGGCCTCTTGGCCAGGCGGCGTTCCCACTTCTCCTTCCGCTCGTGTGGCTTCAGGGCCATGTCCTTCTGTGGGGGGGGGGGGGGGGTGGAGGGGGAGGAGAAAGCCAGTGAGCCCCAGGGAGAGCCGCACCTGCCACATGGGCAATAGGACCACTTTCGGCAGGAAGTGAGGTTGGCCAGACTGCCAAGCGGCCTCCAAGAAGCCCAGCTCGTCCAGGCAAGTCAGAGCTCCCGAGCCACAGCACCACACCGTCTCCGACCACTCCCCTCAAGGGGCAGGGGCAGCCACACCACAGGCAACTTCAGCCTGAACTCTCATGCCCTGTGGGATGCCACCTGCTGGCAAGCCCCTCAGAGAAGTTGGCAGCACTTGTGAGGACGGGGAGGGGCAGATATCATCCACCAGTTCTGTTAGGCTAAACATCCGAGACGGGAGAACAGTAAGACCCCCAATTTGCTAAAAGCATTGTCTAAGAAGAGAGAAAGAAGACTGAGAGTAATGCTGATGTGTCTGCCTCAGCAGGGAGACATTCCCAGAGGAAGCACACCCAGAGAAGCCTCACACTACCCAAGTGCTCTCAGATGATGACTTCACATCCCATGGGAAGTGCTCCTCAGGACATCCTCACTCACAGAAGTGCTCCCCAAGACACCATATCCACAGGAAATGCTCCCCGAAACACTCACAAACACAGGAAGTGCTCTTCATTAATACCCTTACGCTCAGAGAAAGTGCTGCTCATGACTCCATACATCCACGGGAAGTGCTTGAGAAGACACCCATTCCCACAGGAAAAACATCCAGGTGACACCCTCGCACCCCACAGAAAGTGCTTCCTGACGACTGGAGGGACTGGCCACTGAGCCAGGGGCGACTGTGGTTGCCTCTCCTAGAGCTGGTCTCTGTTCTCTGATGGTTGCCTGACTGGGGCCAAAGAAGCCTAGGCCCACCTGGACAGGTGACAGGTAGGACCCTGTCCCAACCCACGGTGGTTTCCTGAGTAGGCAGTTGAGACAGGGGTGTACCTGCATGCCAGCTTGGATCTTCAGCATCAGCAGCCAAACTCAGGACATCCCCTCCAGCACACAGACCTTACCAGACTTTTCCAAAATGAGGGAAGAAAAAAAAAAAAGAAAGGAGCCCATAGAAAGGTCAGAGCTGGGAACAAATGGCCAAGTGTCAGTCAACTGAGGCAGGAAAGACAGTACAGCAGAGAGGGCACTAGCTTTGCAGGAGGTCAATCTGGATTCTATCCCTGCACTGCATATGACCCTCTTAGAGCCCTGCCAAGAGTGTCTCTGAGCATTCCCGGGTGTGGCCCAAAGACAAAAAGTTCAGGCAGCCCCAAAGAGACAGCAGAGTGGGTAATGTGCTTACACTGCACATGCCAGACCCAGTTCAGTTCCCAGCACCACAAAAGGTCCCCCAAGCACTGCCAGAAGTGACCCAAGCACAGAGCCAGGAGGAATCTCCCAGCACTCCTGGGTGTAACCCCAAAACAAACAGTAAGAAGTACAGGCCAACTGTGGGCTTCTCTAGGCTGCACAAGGGTCAGCCGTGGCAGAAGCTACCCACCTCAGTCAACATCCCACCCACCCAATCAGCAGTCCAAGGACTCTTCAGGATTGAGGCCAGCTCTGTGCTGCATCTCAAGACAGGGTCTGGAGAGACAGTACATTGGATAAGGCGTTTGCCTTGCACGTGGCCAACAGGATTTCAATCCCCAGAATCCCGTATGGACCCCACAAGTGCAGAGCCAGGAGTCAGTCCTGAGCATTACCAGGTATGGCCAGCCCTCCCCCCAAAAAAACAAAGCACACATGAGCACCCTGCCCCTTTCGATGTCCCCAAAGCATATTCGTGGAGACTCAGTGGGTGCAGACAAGAGGTCACACAGCCACACTGACCTCCCACAGGCCCAGGCTGTGACAGGACTCTGGTCCAGGGCGCCACCTGGAACCTAACCCAGGTCAGGTCTCCCATGAGACTCTGCTCCCAGATGCCAGGTCCCCACCGGTCTCCTGCTTTCCCCTCTCAACAGCAGGGCACAGAAACATCCCCACTGTCCTCGAGGTATCTGGCCCTATCCTGGCACTGAGCATGGCTTCCTCCACTTTGCCACTGGAGAAACGCTGTGGACAAGCATGGCGGAAACCCCACAGTCATCATGGTGTTGAATTTTTGGTCACCGCGCGTTCAAAGGCCTTCTACCATGGTCGTTTTTTGTGACTCCCACATTGCTACACATCTCTATGTGCAGTTTTAAGGAGACATGAGGGATCAGGGCCCCAGAGAAGATGCAGGAAGAGTCACCATGGGAATGCAGGATCTGGGCCACAGCACCATGACCACCAGCAGACTCCTGGGAAGGCCAGGGAGGGGGGGTACAGGGAGGTTCAGAAGCTGTGGCTCCTGCTCTACTCCAGGAGGCTCAGTGGCCAGGGCAAGGGTACACCCACTCACTAAACGGGGCCACCCTCACCCCAGAACACCCCAGACCCCCAGCACACCATCTGACCATCTATCTGTGCCCTACCACACAAGGCCACACACACAACACTTGCTCAAGCACATGAACATAAGCTCATACACCACATACATGCAGGGCACAGGCTGGCACACTCACACACATGCTCACACACAAGCCTAGCAGACATTCACACGTGTCCACGCAAGCATACAAGCACAATGCTTGCTCACACACCCTGACAGACAAACGCATGTCTGCTCACACCGGCACTCTGCCCCTAGCCAAACGAACATGCACTCACACCGCCAAGAGGGGCAAACGGACACGTGGGCTGAGGGAGATGCAAGGTCCTGCACTGAGCCCTTAAGGGGAACAGTGCTAGTGGGGTGTGCGTGCAGCAGGACAAGGGGGTCATCCAATTAGGGTACTCCCACCACCACATTGCCTGCACCTCAGGAGCACTGAGGGACAGGTGGGAAGATGGCAGGGCAGTCTCAGGAGTACTTGGGGACAGGCAAGAGGACAGAAGGACATGATCTCAAGTGAACTCAGGTATAGAGGAGGACACGGTCTCAGAGCATTCAGGGAAGGACGGAGGACACGGTGTCAGGAGCACTCAGGGACGGACGGGAGAACACTGTGTTCAGGAGCACTCGGGGACGGATGGGAGGACACGGTATCAGGAGCACTCAGGGATGGACAGGAGGACACAGTGTCAGGAGCACTCAGGGGCGGAAAAGAGGACACAGTGTCAGGAGCTCTTGGGGACAGAAGTGAGGATAGTTAGGAGCTGTCATACTCAGGGATGAACGGGAGGTCACATTCTCAGAAACACTTGGGGATGGATACGAGGATGGTTTCAGGAGCACTCAGGAGTGACAGGAGGACATGGTCTCAGGAAATAGGCTCAGGCAACAGCACATGTCCCAGACTCAGCGCCCAGAGGGGATCCTGGCAAGTGCACAAACACACTACCACTTGGTGACAGAGGACCATCCCACCTCAGTGGGCAGAGGGAGGGCACAGGTGCAAACCAACAGACCCTCTCATCCTTGGGGCAGATGGGAGTCACAAGGCAGGCAGTGGTTGAGACCAAGAGTCCGCTTACCCGAAGAGTGTAATTGGACAGCAGTCCTATGAGGACAGTACTGAGGGCAAATGTCTGAGCACACGCAGGTAGGAGATAATCAGAAACTAGAAGCTGAGCAGTGACAGACCCACAAGGCAAGAGGAATCAGGACTGAAGCAGGCTGAGGATTCTGGTGGACGGGGGTGGGAAGCTGTCTCCTAGCCTGGCCAGGAGGTCTGATGCAACTGCCCCCTGCATCCCACCAGGCTGTAGCAAGACTGGTCAGGACCAAGTGGACAGCTGGGGACAAGAGGCCAGACTAAAAACGGGGAGGGGCCAGAGCAACAGCACAGTGGGGAGGGCGTTTGCCATGTATGTGGCTAACCGGGGTTCAATCCCCGGAATCCCTACTGGTCCCGAGCACTGTCGGCAGTAATTCCTGAGTACAGAGCCAGGAGTAACACTTGAGCATCGCTGGATTTGACCCAAAAACAAAACAAATGAATAAAAAAAAAAGGGGGGGCAAGGCCCTGAGCACACTAGAGCAAGGGGATGCTACTAGGGCCGGACACATGCACTCTGCAGGCCCACTACCTGCACCTGGGTTGGGAGGCCCCAGGGGTCAAGGTGCCAAGCGGCAGACGCAGCGCCTGCAGCTTCACCGCGAGGGCTGACGGCGGTGGGGCAGACCCTGGTGCAGGATGCACTGGGGGTGGCACCGACGGAGGCGTGCACGGAGAGAGGAGCTAACACCTCTCAGGACTTCCCATACACCTGAGTTCTGAATGGGGGGAAGAAGTTGTGCAATTTGCAAAGCAAGTCAGGAGAGTCTGGCGGGTCAGGGGCCCTCCAGTGGGCCAGCCCGGCTCTGCACTCGGGCGCATCTGCAGAACGCCCTGGCACCCACGGCCCAGGCAACCTTTCCAGCAGCAAGAGCAAGAGGACAGCTGGTGCCAAGGGCCGAGAGGAGCCAGAGGGACGGTCACAGGCCCTGCCCTGCCTGCCCGTGCGTGGCCACCAGGCTCCGGCCATCCCACCGGGTCCCTGCGGAAGGACACCAGGTGCAGGGAGGCGGACACACCCAGTACAGGCCAGTGCCTGCCCCTCCTGACCCCGTGACCGCCACATCGCCAGGCGCAGGGGGGCGCAGAGCAGCAGGGGCCGACGCCGCCAGGTGTCCGCCGCCGAGGGGGCGGCGCACGGAGGCGTGGGCCCCCGGCTCGGGCGCGCGCTGCACGCGGCGGAGGCGCGGCCGGCCGCGTCGCGCCGTCGGGGGCGGCAGGAAGCGCCGCGCGTCCGGCGAGAGCGCGGGCGCCCGCGGGCCGTGCGGGGGCGCGGCCGGCGCACCCACCTGCAGGGCCTCCAGCGTGCTGAAGCTGGCGATGGCGAAGCCGTCGATGACCTCCTCCTCCGGGGAGCCCGAGTCGCGGCGGCGGCGGCGCGCCGCGCGGGGCGTGGGGGGCGCCCGCGGCAGCCCCGCGTTCTCCTTGCCGGGCCCCGGCTCGGGCTCGTCGCCCGACGACGCGCCGCGGGCGCCCGGCTCGCGCGCGGCCTCCCGGCGCCGGCCGCGGTCCCGCGGCGCGCGCGAGCGGCGGCCCTGCCGGCCCTTGGCCTCCATGGCCGCTGACCTTGCGGCCGCGCCGTCGGGCCCTGCAGGCCGGCTCAGGCGGCGCGCGGCCGGGGCGGCGGGCGGCGGGCCGGGCCGGGCATGCCGCGGGCTCGGGGAGCGCGGCGCGGCCGGGGCGGGCGGCCGGCAGGCGGGCGGGCGGGCGGGCTCAGCGGCCCGCGACCCCGGGGGCGCGCCCCATCGGGCGGCGGGGCCGGACGACGCGGGCGACGGCGACGGCGGGCGGGCGAGCGGGCGAGCTCGTGAGGAGGCTCGTGAGGCGGCGGCCGCGGCGCCCGGAGCGGATAACAACTGACGTACTTCCGCCCGGCCGCCCGCGCCGGAGGAAGTGGGCGCCGAGGCCGGGCCCCGCCCCGGCCCCGCCCCGGCCCCGCCCTGCCCCTTGCGCACCGGGCGCTGCCACGCCCCGGCCCCGCCCCTGCCGTGCCCCCGATCTCGGGCGGCCCCGGCCCCGCCTCCAGTGGGCGGGCCTCGAGGCCCCGCCCCGCGCTCCGGGCGGGCGTCTCTCCACGTGCGGGGTGTGGCGCGGCGGGAGCGCGACCCTGTCACGGGGCCTCTGCGCCCCTCGGGGCAGATCCTCGGAGGGGAGCGCGGGAGCAGAGAAGTGGGGCGTCTTGCCCAGCCAGGCACGTGGGTGGGGGCACGCGCTCGGCCTCACCCGACGCTGGGTGGTGGGAAGTACTGAGCGTCCTCATTCTAAGCCCCCGATGGGGCCAGGGTGGGGTCTAACGGCCCCACACCCCAGACCCCGACGCCCTCCCAGGCGTGCAAGTGGGGGGATCAGGCCTCCTCCTCCCACACCTGCACACCCACATCCTGCTATGCCTACGATACCAGCCCCTCCGCGTACAGGGAACGGCCTGTACAGCCACCCGCTTCCCACCGCTGGGCCTCCCCTCCCCACGTAGGGAGTCCCAGCGGGGGGATCCTGACCTCAGGTTGGCAGCGGAAGGCAGGTGGAGGCCAGCCAGGAGGGGGGCTCATATGTGTGAGACCTCCTCTCAGCGCTTGTCCAGGCAGGCAGGTCCTGGGGTGGTGCAGCTGGGGTGGGACAGAGACTGTCCCGAGCAGGAGGAGACTGACTTGGGGAGTCGGACTGGAGAGTCGCCCAGCAGGGAGGCAGTTGGCGCACCAAGCCTTGGGCGGGGAGGGGGCTCAGCTCTGGGCCGGCTTCTGAGTGCCCCCCCCTCCAGGGGTGTGGGCTGGAACCTCCTGGCCCACAGACTTTGGGCACCCTCTTCTCTGGAACTGTTTCTGGCCCTCCTCCAACTCTCTCTCACCAAAACACACCCCCGTTTTGTTATGAAAACTTGCACTCCCCAGCAGCCTCCCTTTGATTTTTAAGAGCCTCATTAGGAAGACACAAAAGCCCAAAGCCCAGTCATCCCCCTCAGCCCCAATTTTCCTGTGAGGACTGAAACCAGAAACTGGACCTTAAGGCACTACCCCCTGCTCCCCACCCTAGGCCTTGGGGAGCTTTTTCCTTGTTATTATTGTTTCCTTATTATTATTGAGGGCTTTTTCCTTATTCCTTTCCTACCGACCTGCCCTACCCCAGGGAACCACACCATCCCCTGGGGAGAGAGGCGAGACAGGGTGGTACCCGGCTGGCCCCTCTGGCTTTCTTTTTTAGTGAAGCAAGATAGTGTTTTGTTTGAGTTTGGTTTTGGTTTTGGTTTGTTTTATTTGTTTTGTTTTTTGCTTTGGGGCACTTCGGAATTCCTGCCGGTGCTCAGAGAACCATTCGGGTTGCCAGGGATCTAACCCAGGTTGAGGTGTGCAAGTCAAGTGCCCTCCCTGCTGTATTATCATTCCGACTCCAAAGATAGTTTTTATGGGATGAAACTTAGAAAAATGTGAGGAGAGAGAGGAAAAAGTTCATATTCAAGAGAGAAGCTGGGTGTCTCCAGGGCAAGCAAAAATGCATAAAGACCAGCAAGCGAGAGACGTGTTCCAGGGAGAACACGGGCCTGAAGAGCAGGCCAGCACTCATTCCTGACTCCCCCACCTGGTCCCCAGATCCAGGCTCCACACTGGGACACCTCTGGGAGTGGGGGCGGGCATGGAGGCAGTGTGGTCCTGAGAAGAACTTGCTGGGGTCTGAAATGGGCGGCACTCACACAGCCTCCTGTGATTTGGGGGGATGGGAATCCCTAGTGGCCAGGCTCCTGGCACCTGGTAGGCAATGTAGGGGCCCTGCCCTCTCTGGAGCCCCTCCTCCCCGCTCTGCCTTTGGGGCTTGGGAATTTGCATTTTAAATCAGCTAGGAAGCCGATCTTGAGGGTGGAGACCCCCCCCCCAACACTCCCACCAGCCTCAGCAGGCACCTCAGGGCTCCCCACCCACCAAGCTGCCCACCCCAGAGCCTCTCACCCCTCAGGGCCTAGGAAGCCAGAGCCCTAAATTCTGCCACAGCCACGGCGCCAACAGTCTCCTGCTGGCATAGTGCCCTGCCATCCCCAGAGCCTAGCGCTTGCTCTCCTTGCTCTCCGCGTGGCCTGGGCTCTGAGCAAAGCTAACTGCTATGAACGGTGTTCAGACTCATTCTTCTCCCGCTTGGCCTCAGGCCCTCTAACACACAGCGCTGCTTTGGGTTCAGGGGCTTTGGGCTTGTAGGATGATAGTCACAAGTGTATGGTACTAGGAGATCCCTCTAGGCTCTGCCTCCTCCAGAGGTTGCTGAGGTGTCTGGCCTCTTCCCAAGGACGCCCCCAGTCCTCTCACCTGGCCCCTGGCCGAGTTCCCTGGCCTTGGGTAGTGTGGGAGGGATGGGCCATGACAGATGAAGCACACTTTTGGTGCTGCCTTCACTCCACTGCATGGCCCCTGTCCCTGGAATCTGTCCGGAGCTGATTGAAATTTGGGGTACTCCAAGGCCACATGTGCCCTCCTCCAAATCTGCTCCCTCACCAACCCTGTCTTCCTGGTCAGGGTAGTGGGGGCCTGCAACCCCAAATCTGGCCCCCTAGCTCCTGCTTCCTGTCATAGGGGTCTGTGGTTTGGCGCGGGCGACTGCCCATTTGTCAGCCAGCGTCCTAGCCTGACTGAGTGCCTGGTGCTGGCTGCCCACCAGGCGGACGGGCAGGAGTGGGGACCTGATGCTCTGCGCCCCCTGAGCTGTGCAGTGCGCTCTCCCTTGCAGGGGAATATATCCTCAGCTGGGCAGCCACCCTAGGGTTTCTGGCTTCTCCCTGAGGCCCACAGAGAGGACAGTGTGGGGGAGACAGGATGAGGAAGGCCTCCTGCACTTTCGAGGTCACTGGAAAGATGAGTCCAGGCCTGGAGATCCCCGTGCTTGATGACAATGTTGCCATTGCTCCAGTTTGCAGTCTGAGGGTGGAGCAGATTGGGAGCCCCCGGTGCAGACTGCAGACGGTGCAGATGGGGTATCAGGACCACCTGGGTCCTGGCCATCCCCCCCTCCCCAGCACCTTGAGTCCTGTCCAGAACCTGAGGTGGGGCTACTGTGGTTCAGCTTCCTGAGGGGGGGAAGGGCAAGTGCAGAGCTTGGAACCTTCTCATTCCCACCCTGGGGGGCTTTCACGGGCCAGGCCTGGGGGCCCAAACAGAGGGAACTCAAAGCTGCCCATTCTTGCCAGTCCCTGCAGGGCAGAGGGAGTGGCAGGGCCAGAGGGTTGTGAGATCAGCTGGGGGTGGGGGGGGATGGAGGGAGGGTCCGGCTGTGAAGTCAGCTGGGGGACCTGCACAGGAAGGTCAGGGAATGGGGCTTGCTGAGGCCACAGATGTGCAGGGTCCCTCTGCCTGGCTGCACTGGGTGGGTGGGCGCTCCTCTCACGCCCAGAGGCTGTAGGAACAAGTGAGGGGCCTAGGGCCTGCGGTGGCCTTGGGCGCTCCACCACCCAACCCAGGAGGACAGCCTGGAACATTCAGTGCGGGAGGAAGTGCGTGGGCGGGAAGCAGGAACTGGGTTACCCAGACTCCCCTGTCCCTGTTGGGAGCCTGAGAGGACCTGGGGGGCTGAGAGGGCAGGCAGGGGCAGGGCGCTCCAGGGAAAACTGGGAGTGTGTGGCACCTGAAACTCCGCTGAGAACCTAATGTGGGAGCTCCAGGTGGGGCACATAAGAAGTAGACAGAGGGGCTGGAGCGATAGCACAGCCGGTAGAGCGTTTGCCTTGCATGCGGCCGATCCGGGTTCAATTCTCAGCATCCCATATGGTCCCCTGAGCACCGCCAGGAGTAATTCCTGAGTGCAGAGCCAGGAGTAACTCCTGTGCATCGCCGGGTGTGACCCTAAAGCAAAAAAAAAAAAAAAAAAGAGGTACACGGAGCATTCCAGCTCACCACAGGGGTGCAAGGAGGAAAGGGGCCCTGAGGGTCCCTGCAGAGCAGGTTGGGGACAGGGAGACAGGTGAGCTCCCGGGCTGTGCAGGAGGTGGGGGGTGCAGGCACACATTGGGGAGTTGGCACATGTCCACCTGTCCTATCATCTGGCTCGGGCATGATGTGATAGAGACGGGAGGAACTGGGGCTCCCAGAAGCGGGGGACTTGTAGAATGTTCCTCCGAGAAGGCGGGTAGACTCCCCACTCAGCTCTGCTCTGGACTCACACAGTGCCCCTTTTCCCCACGCACCCGAGGAGCCCGCTGGATCTGGATCAGGCGGAGACCGTCTCAGACCCTCAACTGAATCCACGGAAGAGGGACCTTTCAGGCTGGCCTCTGCCAGGTCTCCAGAGAGGCCGACACCACAGTCCCGCAGGCAGATGACTGCAGCCGGACGGCCCATCTGCAAGGATCTTTCCCAGCCAAGGCCACAAATGAAACACGACCAAAACCAGAGTGTTGGCTTGGACATTTACGATTGCAAGGGCTGGGGTCAGGTAGGGCTTGATGCAGATGTTAAATCAGTCCCCAGCTGTCCCATGCTCGGTTAGTGCCTTTCTGAGCAGATCTGCAGAGCCTGGGATGTCACCTCCCTAAAGTTACCACCTGAGCCTTCCTGAACTGGGGGAAGGTGGCAGAGACTCATCC